CAGGGAGACTGGGAGAGTCTAGAAGACATTCCTCGAAGATGGAGTGAAAATCACGGTCGCCGCTGTGACCCTTTCCCGGGAAAGCCATTTAACCCAAGTCCGCTCCTCCTCCCAGTCATGCCACCATGCCACTCCCCCCGTGGTGCATACACAGAGCGAATTAAGTGGCGAGTGTTCGTCAAAGTTTAAACAAAGTCATTAAAATCAATTGCAATTAATCAAGCTGCTTGTACCTCTCTCTTATCCCCCTTGAGGAAATTGCAGCAGCTTTATTATAAAGCGACATGAGGCATCCGCCCCAGTCGAGTCCCTCCTCAGCTTAAGCCAAAAAAAAAAAAAAAGACAAAAAACTGGCAAGAAAAACAAATTAACTTTGGCTTTTGGCAAGCCTGAAGTCTTGGCCAGCAGTCTTGCCAACGACATGGCTTGTTTCACACCCCAACTACCAACTACCATGACTTTTGGGTGGCATTAGTCATAGGAATGCATTTTTGGAAAGATGTGACAAATAAGCTTCTTATGATTATGCTCCAAATGCCTGGGGATATTGAGTTCACTCGGCAACTGGCTTTCCCACACGCTGTCAATAGAAGAAATTGAAATTTTCCAACAGCTTTTCCAGAGAGCCCGATCTCCGATTTCAACTTTTACTTGCGTTCGTTCGTCTCCGGTCTCCGGTCTCCGGCAAGTAACAACCCATTTTGACAGTTGCTTAATTACAAAACTGTCGTAATGTATTTGTAATCTTGGGGCTTTAATACCAAAAAACCTTATTAAAACCCCATTCTTTTAGGTCACTCTTAGGCCATAGAAAGTTGCATTTCGTAATATTAAGTGTTAGCATCGATGGGCCGGGCAATTGGTGTTGTAATTAATTGGAGGCTGGCCCGGCGAGTAAAAGGGAAATCTGGGAAAGCCCCTTTCGATATCCAAACATAAAAACAATTATCACAGCAGTTACTTACGATATATTGGAGAAAGATATTGAGAAAATGGGGGGAAAAATACCCTCAAGACTTGGGCCATGGATATGAAGAAAGGCCATGGATACTGAACTACCAAACTAAATCAGAGCGACAACTATCACTTTGAGCCAAGTATTTTCTATATGCACAACCCGAACAACTTTTACCCGAAAAGGTTGTTTTCAAAAATTTTGTAGCTGTTGCACCATGCCATGCCACATTACCTTTCGCTGGCAGTGGCCTCTTCCACTCCACCATCCTCCATCCGCTCACTGTCGATATGCATTAATTTTTGTCATCACCCAGGCTCTGGAACAGACTAGACCGGGGCTGGACAGGACAGGAGGGGCAATCCAACCACCTGCGCACTCCCGGCTATCTCCACCTGGCGCCTCTGGTGGTGTGTGAAAGGTTTTCCACCAATCGCCAACATATGGGTTAAATATATATTAACCCACAAGAGAGTAGAAGTTATAGATTCAGGGGAAGCCCAACCAAGGCACTGGGCTATCGGCCCTTGGTGAGTGTGGAAAGTAAATGGCAAAAATGAAAAGCAGCTCAAACGGAAGCCATGCTCCAGACACTTTCCGGGCGGACAATGGCTATTATAGGCTATAGAAATATGTACTATAGCCACTACTATAACCTGTGGCCATTAAAAGAGCAAAGCCTCCAAATTCGGCAGAGTCGTCGGGATGGTAATTAGTCTAAGCCCGGCTAACTAGCAGCCATTAAGATGGTCGGCATTGGTCGGATAGTGAATGATATTGTTGTGTTATATGTATGCCGCATGTGGCATAGGCATGCGGCATGTAGCATATAGCCATGGGTTAAAGTCAAACGCAACTTTCGCTTTCCATTTGATCGGGCCGCATTCGGTAGGTTGGTAGCCCGGCATAGATACAAAGATACATACATCGGTAAGGTTCACATGCATGGCATGCATGAATGAGAGTCAAGCCGAGCTTTGGCTTAACTGTTTAAATAATTATTACTTGTTCGTCACTTGCGCAAAAATTGCCCATTTACCGTTGCTTTGTTAGTTTTTCCTCTCAACCCTGCCGCTCCAAAAACCAAAAAAAAAAGTTAAAAGAAAAATAATGAAAAGCAGGCAGGAGAAACAAGTCTGTGTCGAAAAAAAAAAGAAAGACTTGGTAAGACTTTTACGCTCTGCTGGCTGTGCTAACAAGCCTGAAGACATTTTAATAAGAACACTTTGCACAGGCAGGCCCTAGGCTAGGCCCGGCCCGGCCCCTCCTCAGCCGGTATCGTGGCAGTCGGTGTGTGCGACAGTTATGATCGCAATTACCCCAAACACCAACCCAACCCGAACTGCCTGCCTGCCACCGCGAGTGCGAATGTCTATCTCACAGATACTTTTTCCCCCTACCCCCTTACCAAAACTAAGGTGGAAAGAGTTGGCTTGACTTTGACAATAGTTGGAGATTGAATTACGAAGCTTAAGACTTTAGAGATGTTTCTTTTCCTCTTTCTCAAGAGATCTTACTTGCTGACACGATAATTTATGATAGGTCCTATAAGTAGGTTTTGTAGGAAAGTAGAGATTTACTTTAGTAAATAGTACTTTAATAAAGATACTTTTAAATAAAAATACTATAAAGAGGATTTTTATACACAATAATCATAAAATATAATTAATATTTAACAATAAGAAGAGAATTGGTTATTTGTTTTGGAACTGTAATGTTTGTTTTACCTTTACTATTATAAAAGCACGAAATCTTTCAGTAACCTTTCCAAAATCTTTCAAAGTTTCAGAAAAATTTTAGAAATAAATAAATTTCCGCCATTTATTGAAAAATAGTGTTAATAGAAAAGAAAATAGAAACCGAAATATAACAGAAACTTTTCAGAAAATGAATAAATTTCCGCCTTTTTTTTATAGAGTATTTTTTTTTTAAACAATATATTCATCCACATTAAAGAAATATTCATTCATTTACTCATTTGTGATGTAAGCAAATAAATAATATAGTTTAATAAAAATTGCTTTTAAAAATAGGTGTTAAAAAAAAGAGTTCCGAAAAATGTAATTTTATAATTTTTTTTTTCACGTAATAATCATAAAATTTTGTTAAGGCTTAGAAAAATTAAGGTACAAAACCATAAACTAACTATAACTAAGGTTAATAAAAAAAATAATTAGTTTGGTTTTGAAAACCTCTATAATTAGTACCATTATTCTTCTTATTTGAACCTATTCTTATAATGTGTTTTATTATAGCTTTTTATACCTTCTTTTTATATGGCACTCTTTCGTCACCTAAAATGGATATCAGATATATTTGGCGTGGCATGCGCACTCGTCCCCAATATTTTATCGAGTATAATTATAATATACTAAAGACCTCCAATTAATTTGAAACTTCGAAGCCATTTTTATTAAAATGTTATGTGCCTTAATTCCAATCACTTTTAAATAATAAATAATAATTTCTCTCAGTGTATGTTGCTTGCATCAAACAGTTCACACACTTGCCGCAGCCGTTTAACGGTTGTTTTGTCTTTGCGGCCTGCGCTTTTGACGCTTTCTGATGTTTTTTTTTCTGTTTTTTTCGGTGGGCCAAGTTAAGACCCAACTTCCAAAACACAAAAATAGGCAATATAGTGTATAATTAATTAGCCGCAGCCGAAGCCGCATCTAAGCTCTTCCTCTTCCGCCGTGGCACGCAATTTGGGTTGCACTTTCTAGCAGGAAGACGCACCTTTTGCCTCCCACTTTTGCCTTTTCCGCTGCACCCGGCACCCAGTTCTACTCGGTAGAAAGTTGAACCCAACTGGTGGCCCGAATTGGGGCATTGAATTTTCGGAATACCCACTATTGTTTAGGCCTGGCTAAGTGTGTGGCTTAAACACCGGCGGTAATCGACGGTAATTGCATTGTAATTTCGCTAATTAGAGCAAAGTGTAACTAAAGTAGCTGACAATGCTTGGTGGAGACTCTCACTTTTTATGAGAGGTGTAGGCTGAGGACAGTGCGTGTCGGGGCAGATGGGGCATAAAAAAACGCCATCGCTTAGCCCACTGAAAGCTCTAAAATCGGATTTGATTGACGCCCCGAAGGAAGGCGTCTCGCAGTAGTAAACTATCAAATGGCTCAAATGGCCAAAAGCAAATGTTGACAAGTGAATGGTCTTTGGCTTTCAGAGCCCGGGGCCAGAAAATGAAGAAGGAGCTGAAGCTGGAGCTTATGCTGGTGGAGAAGTTGGTAGCATCCACAGTTCAGCTAACTGTTGCAGAGTTTTAATTGACGTCTCATGCTGGCGGCAGTAAAATGCATCCACAGAAACCTACCTCCAGATGCACAGATACACATGGATAGGAGCCGACAGTGCGGCTCACAATTGTCAGGCAGACAGCTGCGAGATCTGGTCTCGGTCTCTAAATTAAATGCTCACAAATGCTTACATTTCCTGGGCCTTCAGCGGCCACGACACCAAGTCGGGGATAATATATAAAAAAATATAAATAATCGTAAAAAGCAATGAAGGCATTATTTTAGAGCCTGGGCTATACTTTCTAATAGTTTGGATGGTATATTTTATTGGCTTTACAATCCTTACCATTACGATCTGGACTGTATCTGGTGGTTTTGGGCAACGTTGCGTGGACAGCCACTGACTGACTGACTGACTAACTTGACTGAGTGGCTGGTGAATGCCACAAAGCATAACATTTTTTGGCCAGCCTTTTGTCTGGCAATGGCTGGCTGGCAATTCTTTATGCCAGGGTTTCCACTTAATTGCAATACTGGCTAGGATGGAAGATGCATCTTGGCGTGACTTCTAATGCCCATTGAGTGCTCACCCAGCCAGCTCTGTCTTAAACTGCATCTCATACCTCCTAGCTGGTCTTGCTCCAAGACGTTGATGATTAGACACAGACATTAAATGCTTTTCCTCGGCGAGCGTGTGGAAATTTTGCGAATTATGCACTCTGCCATATCAATTACGAAGCGTAGAAGTATGAGCTTGTAATTAATGAGACTCTCTCCATTTTCTTTTCCTTTTCCAGGGTGCTGAGGGCTCCGGGCGGTGGATCGAGCGACATCTTCGGATCGGAGATGCCGCAGACTCCCAGGGGCTCTGTGAAGAATCGCATGGCCTCCAACATATTCGCTGCCGAGAAGGATAATGGAGTGAAAAACAACGGTAAGTTTGAGGGTTAAGGTTAAGTTTAGGTCTAGCTGATGATGTCTATAGTTTATGGTTATAGATCAGAGAAGGGCTCTCAGGTTAATTAAATGCTTATGTGTGTCTCGTTTTTCTTCTCGTTCTTTTTCTTTTCTTTTCCTCCCTCCCGCTCTATATCTTTTCTTTTCTACGTATCTTTGCAGTACGACAAGGAGCTCACAGATTCTATTTCATTGGTACTTGAATTATGTCTCCTTCCTAAGCACAGAATACCCCCCAATCCTCACCAAGTCTCTTAATCCTAGTCTGTTTCGTTGTTGTTGTTTTGTGCTAATTTCGTTTCGAATGCAAAAGTACTCACCCACTTCCCACAGACCACCACATCACCCACAAACCCACAAGAAGTTGCAATACCAACCGGTTTAGCCTCCTTTTCCATTCCACCTGCCACCTGCCTACCCGCCACCTGATGGCATTTCGAGTTCACTTAGATAAAAGCCAAAAGAACTCAAGGCTCTTCTTGTTTTGTCTTTAGTTTATTTAACCTTTTGCCATTTTTGCCACACAGAGAACAAAGTTTTGAAATATTTTCCACCTTATCAGACTCACCTTAATCCACCTACTGACCCACTATCTGTACCATACATACCTCTCAGTAGAACACGTTGTATAAACTAATTTAAAAATTAAAACTCCTTTGAAAGTCCACTAATTTATGGTATTTAATTTTCTTTTGTTTCCCCACTTGGTTCTGTTTTCTTTTTTTTTTTGTTGGTTCCCCCTGGGACTCGATACAACAGGTGATGCCCCACGCCGCGGCCAGAAGACCGTGGACTCGCACTCTCGGCTGTTTGGGGAGCCCACCCGCCCGATCACGCCCGCCAAGAACCACATGAAGAGCAGCATTCCCTTTGGCCAGAACACAGAGGCAGCTGCCGCCCAGAAGCTGCTGACCACCAACGGCCACTACAACGGCAAGAGCGGATCCGTGTCCTCGGCCTCGTCCTCGGTCTCGTCCTCGACCGAGAACCTCAAGATGAACAGCGGCTCGAGAGGAGGTAAGAATCGAATATTGGGGGGAAAAGGGTTTATATAGTAGTCGTTGGATTTAAATTCGATCGAAGCTAACGGCCAACGGCTGGGCTCACATTCAGTACGAACCCAGAAACCGTAGTGGCTACACTGCCTTCGACTATTATAGAATTTCAAAAAAATAAAAATCGTAATCGTCGTAAATTGTGTTTTCCGCTTTATATATATTTTGTATCGCACATGCACTAAAAACCAAAAAAATATAAATCGAAATCTCATCGTCGTGACTAACAACTTCGTGTCTCGTATCCGGGTCAGTCTTCCGCAATATGAGCAGTGAGTACATTTCGTTATCCGTGTCCCAGTAGGATTTATCCTGATCCTAATCCGCCTATCCCTGGGCCCTGATCCTCCCCATCCCACAATCAATCCTTAACAACCAGCAGCAGCTCCAGGATCAGCCGATCTAGACTGTGCCCTGACCCCCGAGGCCAGTGCCCCGGCGATTCCACCACCAGACGTGCTGCCCATTGATATTCCGTGCAAGGAGACCATAGTTGGTGACGTGCCGGCTGATAACCAAACCTACACCGAGTCTGATAAGCGCGACCAGGGCACCCAGTCCTCTTGCGACAAGGACACCAATACAGAGATTCCCGTTTCACTGGACCACATGGAGGGTGTATCAGATCGCCAAAAGCCCATTAACCCTTGCCCAGAGGCTCTCAAGGAGGCGGCCCAGCCGTGCACCAAGATGGACTCGCGCAACCCCATCACGGGCTTGGGCCTCAACGGCGATGGTGTTGGCGGTCTAAAACCAAAGAAGCTAAAGAATCGAGGTGGGCCTTGGCTGCTGGAGGTGGTCCTACCCATCCCAAGTCCTTGTCCGTCCCCAAGTCACCTCCTAAAGAGAAATTCCAAGATTTCCTGTCAAAGTTTCTTTTAATTTTCTTCCAAAATCTTAAAATTTGAAACGCGAATGACATTTAAATCGGAATTCAAGTAGTGATCACAGTATATATTCTTTTTATATTTATTTTAAAGTTTGTAGAACCTCTAGTTTAAGATCATATCATCTTCAAGTCTTCTAATCCCTGAATCATCTTCCACAGAGGGAAACCCCGTCACAGGTGAGGGCTACAAGCCAGGCGCAAACGACTTCCACCAGCGTGCCGACTCGGCCCAGGGAGGTACTCCGGTGATCAACAAGAACCGTGTCCCACCAGGCGGCTACTCGTCGGGACTCTGGTAATGACACTACACGATGCTCAGATCCCAGAAGCACAAGCAATTTCGAGGGGGAAGCAACTGGAGGGCGGAAAGACCATAAGAGAAAAAAACCTACAAAATCAAACAAAAAAAATATTAAGATCGTACTACCCATATAATATACTACGCATTACCCTATCCTGTACTCAAAGATGAATGGAGGAGAAACCGGGTCTGCCAACGAATATATAAACACGAGGACAACTCAATTGCTCAACGATGTTAGGATGCATGGAACATCATCGATGCAGTGCCCGAGAAACGAGAATTAATCAACCAACCACATTTAAGAAGCCGTCGCACCACCCACACTACTACCATTAGCACCACCACCACCACCAACACGGCCACCAACCACCAGCACGACCACCCAACCACCACCCCAACCACAGCCACTCCATTGAAAATCTGTAATTTAAATTCTTTAGTTTGAGTAATTCCATAAAATGCCTGTTATGCCCAACGTCTGCATGTTGGGAATGCGTTGGGGATAGAGATCTTGGTTATATAGATCGACCATCCACAGAGACCATCCTAGGCGTGAGTGGGCCTCGTCGTCGTCGTCGTACGTGGGAATAAGGAGTACGTGCGTAGGCATCGGCTAAGGATGATGGGGATTATCGTTCGATTCTTCGATCAAGCATACACTTTCGATACGTTAATTATAGTTGCATATACTACACGCCACATTTTATATTTATATTTAAACGAACCGCATTCACACGAACACACACATATATACATACATAATATACATTGTATTACATTACATTAAATATGTAATTTAAACAGTACGCCTGTACGTACTAATGTGCACGTACTAATTAAGTGTAAAAATACAAAATTCAAGCGCGAATCTTTGTTCAATAAAATTTTTCGTACATAACATGCTCTAAAGAGCTGGATTTTTATTTCAAGAGGAATAGGAACCTGGGGGTTTTAGGTTTTCAAGAAGATTTTATATTATTGGAGAAAATGGCCACCACTTTGGGGTTTGTCCGTTGTAGGATTGATCTACGATGTACTTCTGTGCCATATAAGCTTCTTTAAAATAAGATAAACTGCATAATTACCCTTTTACCCCCCAAGAATAATTAATTTTAAATTTCCCGCCCGGAAGTATAGTTTACATCTGTTTCCAACACTACTATCTGGCAACTCTTTTAAGTGTTGCCAACTAAAACTTAAACTACCTTTAGCAACACTGCTTTGGAGGTCGCATCGTGTAACCTGCAACACTACACTGTTCACAAACAAAATGGCTCTGATTTTTGCAAACTAAAGAAATCGCAATTTTTCCGGCGTCGCAGTGGGCCAAATTATTTATAATAAATCACACAATGTGCCAAGTTCGCCTGTGAGCCAACGGAAAAAATGCATCTGGACGCAGCGATCCCGGTAACCGCAGCATAGCCCCATGAAAAGTGAACAGCAGCCAGCCGACTCGGCCAATTTGTGGCTTTTGTAGGATACGAAAACTAGTTCTCACAGACGCACACATCCACAGACACTCGCCGCAGCCTGTCGAAAGTGCCTTCCCCAAAAATGGAAGGAATGGATCTGTGGACCTCGATGTTCTCCTCTGATTTCGATGAGGCGGAGGATGGAGTGGAGGGAGATGTTGGTCTGGAGGGGGAGGATGGCGAGCAGTACGGCAATGGAAATGGAAATTCGGATCTTTTGGATGCCGACATGGGCGATGACGACATCCTGGATGGTGAGGAAGAGGACAGGGAGGAGGAGGAGGACGAGGACGATGGTGAGGGGGAAAATAGAGGAAAAGGCTCCGATCCGGACGATGATGCCATCTTCGACTTTGAACTGCAGCCCATGATTAGCTTGTCGGAGCAGCCGGAGCAATCCTCCTCTTTGGACGACGCTGAGGCCACAATGCGAGGGCAGTCGGTGCCCGGCTCCCAGGGACGTAACCCGAATGTAGGCTATCCCCAACGGCCAACTACCTCGCAGATCAATGCCACGGATGAGCACGGAGTGCCCATCAACTATGAGCTGGGCGTTGTCTACATCTGCCCTGCCTGCGGCGCGGAGTTCCGGCAGCAGGACCACTGGAAGCGACACATGAACCAGATGCATCGGTACAACACCTTGCGCGGCCTCAACTTTTTGCCGGTGGACAAGTTGTATCATCGCTGCCAGGAGTGCCACAAGCGGATTGCGATGCACAGTCGAGAGAATCTGCTGAAGCACAAGTTCACCCACTTGCCGTACAGGTGTACCAAGTGTTACATATGCAAGCGGGAATACAAATACAGGTGGGTCTGATCTGGAAGGTAGTTTCAATGATGGATTAGATACTCAATGATGAACTATACTATAGTAACTATTATTTATAATTATTTCTGGACAAGAATGGGTGTAACCATGTCGTTCTTTAATTATTGACTAAACAACCAACCCAATAAACAAGCTGCCATAGAAACGATTGTATCCCCAGGCAGATCCTTTAGTTTCCTTAAGAGACCATAGTGGAAGTTCCCAAAGTTCCCTTAAAACTAGCATTTTTTAATATAACTTTTATTTTTTATACATCCAGGCAAGATCTTATGGTGCACTTGAGGTTAGTGCACTGCGAGGAAGTCGTGGCCATGATGCGGGGCGGCTACAATGCAGCTGGCCGAAAGACCCGGGTCCGGGAGTCCCGCACCGAACAATTGCAGAGGGAGGAGGCCTTGCGCGAGGACGGAGAGTTGGATCGCATTGAGGTGCGCAACGAGGTGCTCGAACCGGACGCCGATGAGTCGAGTGTTTTGGAGCATTCAAAGCAGTCACTAGTCGCAGAGGAGGTACCTCCTGCCAGCAGGAAGAAGAGACCCGAGGAGGAGGGCGATGAACTAATACTCGCTGCAGAGCTGTGCGAGGACTACATTCATTTCATGTGTCCGGATTGCGGTTACGAGTGCGACAACCTCAGGCAGTGGCGCCAGCACATCGAGTTTGTTCACGACTTTGTCAGCAGGCGGGGACTTAACTTCCGGAGCAGTGACATGCAGATGCAGTGCCTCGAATGTAAAAAGGTGAGATAGGTCAGATGTTCATCTAAAGATGAAACTAAGATCTCCATTACTTCTTGCAGATTGTCTCCCCCAACACCATTAAAGTATTGCGAGCGCACAAGTTCAGTCATTTATCGCATCCGGAGTGGATGCACTGCAAGCTCTGCTATAAGGGCTTCTCGGACCACGACGCGATGGTGAAACATCTGCTGAAGGAGCACCACCTGGACACTCTAATGCCAGAGCGAACCGGCCAAGCAGAGGACGGAGAATTCGATGGCGGTGGCAGAAAAGGAGAAGGAAACGGGGATGCATTGGACGACGAGTCGCCCTACTTCGCGGATGCGCCTAGACGCGGTGGACGCATCAGTAGCGACGACATGTACGAGCCCTTTATAGACTATCTGTGCCCGCAGTGCGGCAAGGAGTTCCGCGAAAAGAAACACTGGCGCACCCATGTGGTCATGATGCACGGAATGAACGACCTGTCGAAGCTGAACTTCAATGTGATAGACGAAAGAAAGCTGAAGTGCCTCGAGTGCGACAAAATCATTACCAATGCCTATGGCATCCAGAATGCGCAGCAGCACAGGATCACCCACTTGCCGTTCAAGGCCTACGCCAGGTGCACCAAGTGCCACAAGTCATACACGGACAGAAAAGGTCTGGTCAAGCATCTGGCCACCTACCATCGCATCAACGACATGCCACGCAGATCGACAGGCGGTAGTTTGGGAGGGGATGCTGGTGGCGGGGGAGACTCGCTTCCGATGCCCCAGGCTCCGAAGCAGCCTCGCAAGCAGATCGTCACGGTGGCCAATGAGACTTACGAGATCATCTACCTGGACGACCATGAGCCAGTCATCGAAGAGGACAACGACTTTGGGGAGCAGATGCAGGCGGAGGAAGAGGAATTCCTCCCAGCCACGATTGCCCCGCCGTCGCCTCCAATGCTGCATCCAGCACCCGGACAAAACGATGGGCATCGCTACAAGTGCATCCACTGCGGCGAGGCCTTCGCTTCGCAGGCAGCCGTTAAGCAGCACAGAATCGATAAGCATTTCAAGATCCGCAAGAGGTTGCGCAGCCACCAGCCCACGCAGAACACGGACACGATCGCTCCCTTCCCGACGGTGGAGCAGAACTACATCTTCCTGTGCCCCTCCTGCGGCATGGAGTACAAGACCCAGTTCGAGTGGCGGCGCCACATCAACGACGTCCACAACTTCGACAAGCGCGAGTATCTGAACATGCAGCAGCTGGACAAGTACCGCTATCAGTGCACCCAGTGCCGGGACGTCGTGAGCAACTCGAAGCTCAAGGGCCTGCAGGACCACCACTTCCGCCACTTGCCATACCGCTTGTACTTGAAGTGCCTCATTTGCGGTACCTGCTACAACCACAAGCCGAACATAGCGGCGCATCTGCGAGCGCGTCACAACATCTTCGAGAGGGGGGCGCCCGTTATGGTGACCAAACCCAGCAAGCAAATGAACCGATATCGGGAGATGGACAGAGAGAAGACTTTACCTCCGTCTCCGATACCGGTTCCCGACTCTCCACCCAGCTGTTCGCCCTCCTTCTCTGGGGCTGCCATGAGTCGCACACTGAAGCCCCAGCCGGGGGCGTTGCCCGTTCGACCCGCTGGTCTAAACACCCTGGAGGATAGCATCTCGTATCACAATGCCGTGGACTTGGACTTCATCACGTACTTCTGCCCGAAGTGCAACCAGAACTTTGACTCGCACGCCTTTTGGCGAAAACACATCGTGGAGAAGCACAACTTCAACAGTCGCGAGGGCCTGAACTTCCGGCAGCTGGATAACCACCACTACCTTTGCTTGGAGTGCTACAAACGGGTGACAGTCACCCACACAAAGGGTGCTATCGGGCAGTTGCAGTCGCACAAGTTCCGCCACCTGCCCCATCGCTCCTTCAAGTGCTTGACCTGTGGCGGGGAGTTCGTGCGCAAGCAGATGTTCTTCAAGCATCTGAACCGGGACACCAATCGCTGCGACAATCATCAGCAGCGGGAGCTGGACGACGACGAGCAGGAACACGACCAGGAGCAGGAAGGAGTGGTCTCTGTCAGGTCCATGTACCAGCTAGCGTGTCCCCAGTGCGGCGATGGCTTTACCACGGTGAAGAGAACAGCATGGAAGGAGCACATCAATGTCTACCACAGTCTCACTAAGCTAGACTTGCTGCACATGATCAAGGTGGATGTGGATCGGTACCGCTGCAACGACTGCAACGAGGAGATTGGGACAAACCGACTGCGAGAGCTTCAGCACCACCGGTACCAGCATCTTCCCCACCCTGCCTATGTGCGCTGCAAGTTGTGCGACAAAAATGAAGTCGGCTCGGAATCAGGAGGCGGCAGGCTGCACAGCCTGCAAGACCTAAAACAGCACATCCTGAACAGCCACCCGGCAGCAAAGGAAAAGGAATCTATTCTAGCCAAGATCCGCGAGCATATGCAGCAGGAGGAGCAGGAAGACGTAGTGCCAACTGTAGAGGACGAGGACAACCAGACTGGTCACGATTCAGGACCATATATGCCATTGCCTCCGCACCTGCTGGATGACGGGGATGATATGGACTTTGAGGATCAGTATCTGCTGGGATAGGATGGGGGAATCTATTGGAATCTTTTAGTGTGTTAGTCCATTTTGTGTTAAAAAGTAACTGATTTCTTATATAATTGTAATATTACCATTTTATTTGGTACAACTGATTGATTTTAGAATTGTTTTTAACCAGTCTCTTGTTTTTAAACCGATTTTATTTCCCCTCCGAGCTATTATTTATAGTTGATATTGTAAGTCAAGCCCAGTTCCACTTCCATAAACGCGAACTTCCAGTGGTCGAACAGAATCGAATGCCTCCATACCCCATTGGAGGGAGGCACACACTTTCATGAGATTAAGAATAGTATTCATAGAATTTACTATATACACCTCCTAACTCATAATTTCGATTAATATCTCATCGTGTATCTCAAGGCGGCCCATTTTCATTAATAGTTTATAAGACTAGCTATTTATTTTGCAGCAAAGTAAAAATGATATTATTCGAATGAAAATTATGAAATTATAACAAAATATTGAATTCTTTCAGACAGAGCTGCTCTCTGGAAAAGCATTCGGCTCGCTGTTTTAGAAATGTTAATAAATAAGATAATTATCTTGATAAAAAAATTAGTAATTTTCCTGGGAAAGGGTTAAAGATTTAATATATATTTTTTTAGGTATATTTTTCTTTATTAGTAATACAGTTTTATGTTAATTTCGGTCAAAAAATCCTTGCCGGCCCTTGTCGAGCTCTCTTCTCAACACAGATGTCCTTCGTAACACATCGTAGGTAAATATCAACATTTCTTATCGGGATGGATGCGGATTAAACTAATAAAGAAGACGTTGGAGCCATTCTGATGGTGATGATGATAGTAATACGATATGTTCGGGTCCTCAAATCAAGTCTAACTCTAATCCTTCTAATCTGTTATCCAGTAATAATAAATATATGTATGTAATAAATACTTTTGAAAAGCATAAAAAAATTGCACGCTCGTAATAGTTGCCGCTAAATGAATAATACGATTCCGAATACAGATACAATTCCAGCCCCGATGTGTGCTCAACAAAAGAATTGGCTTAAAATTAGACAAAACTGATTGCATGGAATGATGTCTCTGTAATTGAATGACCCACCGGGCGGTGTCCCACAGCTCCCAGCTACCACCCGCTTTGTGCCTCCTATTCGACTTTAAACGTAGAAACTTATGCAACTAGGCATGTATGTTGTTGTGTTTGTGTGTGTGTTTAGTAACAAATTGTTGTAGTTATTGTAGCGCCCATTCCCTCACAGGGTCGGCATATTGCGCCGATGTCCACTGGACTCCGCCTCTTGCTGGGCCTTTTGCTTGGCCCGTCGCGCCTTCTGGCGCGTGTGCTCGATCTGGAAGTCCTCGACGCGCAGGTTCAGCCGCATCATGTTGTTGATGAGGAACTCCTCCTCGACGATGTGTTCTTCGGGGGATCGCAGCACCGCCAGCGTCTCACACAGGCCAGTGCACGTCTTGCGCACCTTATGCCGGCTGAGCGATGCTCCTATGATGACCAGAGCCACCTTGAAGATCACCCGAATGCCCTCGGCCAGGAAACAGTCCCAGACACGCAGCAGGGTCTCCCAGGGCAATGTGCGGGTCATGGCGCACAGGAACCAATCGGTCATGTAGAGCAGCGGCTCCACTTTGTGCTTCTGTAGGTGGCGGTAGACGGGTGGGCAGGTTTTCTTCAGCAAGCCCTCCAGAATGCCAGCATCGTTCTGAATCACCTCCAGGCCGGGTATAAAATAATCCTGCAGGTATCTGCAAAGTAAAATAATTAATATCCAGCAGGATACAAGTACAGGATACACATACACATCACAAACGCTGACAAACACCCAAAAGGCGTCCTCCGCGGGCAGGTGCATCAATAGAAAGGCTGCTATCGGTGCCTGCGCCTGGCAGAAGCCCACCTTCGGATTGTATATGGAATAGGCCTTCAGCACGTTGAAGAGCTCGATCTGGCCCACCTTCTGTTCGTCGAGAAACATTTCGTGAAAGGGAAACTGCCTGTGCTTGTCCTTTTTGATTTCCTCAATGGTCGCCGGGTTTCCAGGCTTCTTCAACAGATCCTGATATACATTTGGGTTCTTATTTTTCAGCAAATACGCCCCCGACAGATAGAACCAGGCTTTGGGTCGCACAGACTTGGGTATTCCCTTGCGGCATCGATCGCGGATCTGTAAAAAGGGAAAGTTCTATAAATGAATCATAGAATAACTATTATCTCACCTTTTTATAGTTTTTCGACATGTATATGGACCAGTTTTCAATCATGTACAGCCATTTCTTCTCCCTCGCAATAATCTGTGCCTTCGAGAGCGGCTCCTTGGGCTTGTCGGTGCGCTGGAAGCCGCCGTAGAAGCCATTACGATCCGGGCAGCTGGAGACTGTGGAGCAAAGGGAGATGGTGTCCAGGGAACGCGGTGCCGTGGCCATCGCCGACGCCAGCTCTCCGGCCGCAGCGACTGTGAACTGAAAGCACAAACACAAAGCACACACGATCAACATACGCCCACTAGCAGGGCCCACTAATTGTGTATGCAAATTCACCGAGATAGACCTAAACGGGCCGACCATCTCGTCTGGGGTAATAAAAAGTGCGCAATTAGGTGCAGTACACACTATTTGTCGCTAACTAGGCGGAGAATTACTCATACTAGTGTCCCTCATCTTTTTTTTCGGCAATCTCTTTAGTCGACTCGACTCTTATCGTTATCAGTCTCAAGGTGGGAGCAATTATATTTGGGCCGATTTGGGGAGATAACTAAACAACGACCGTGAAAGCGACTAGGCGCTCTAAATCACACCTCATCTTCTTGGAGAAGGTCCAACTGACTGCAGCTGCAGCTAAGAAAGAGCATAGTGCACTGCCTCAATAAAACTAAATATCAATGGGAGTATACTATGGCCAATATAGTCTACGAACACCTTTTGATTGGTGACTTTATTGTGGGCTCAAGTGTTTGTTCTAGTAAGATATGCCAGAACTCGAGGAAACAGTGAAAGCCCCTCGCTGTTTCCCTGTGGGGCACGAGCTGCAGCCACTAGTCGCCGGATGCTCGAGTTTGCTTAATGAGCAAGCCCACTTCACCTAGCCACCATCCGCAAAAACAACAACTAATTGAGGCAACTGTGTCTTTGTCCCAAACAAGTGGCAGAATAGTTGCTAGCCAAAGAATACAAAAAAACCATAAAGAAGACATTACCATGGCATGACTTTTGAGGTTGACATGGGAAATACCCTTTGAAATTGAAAGTAAAGGGTATGATCTAAATAATACTACAAAATGAATGAATAGTATAAACTTAATACAACTCTTTTTGTTTCTAACAATAACATTCATTCATAACCGATACTTGAATCATATAAGACAACTATGTACATAGGATCGAGTTTTATAATTAACTATCAATGACTAATATAGTGTGTGCGATAAAAATAAATAGATGATTGCACTGCAAGTTCTATTTTTATGCTAAAGACAGAAAAAAATAGTATTATTTTATAGTTTAATTCATAATTATTCGGTTCAGGGCCACTAAAAAGCGACAATCTTAAAAACCAAAACAAACAAAAACATCATATAACCAGATAAGTACAGGGCTTTACAATATCCATCATACCTTCTGAAAGGGTAAAAAACAGCGAAAGGGGAAAATCAGAGTACAAAAGCCACAGCAATAATGAAAAACTAAGTGCAATCTGGCAAAGACAGGCGACAATATCCGACCTTCGGGGGCCCAGCGATCGAGAAACGGAATTAGAACGTTATCGCGGCAAGGGGTATGATCGCATATTTGCTTACTTAGTGATTGGGCGACAGGTGAAGTAGTGAGTGGGTGGAAGGGGTGGCGTTCACCCCCACCCACAAAAAACAAAATGAAATCAAAACCTGACTTGAGTTTCTTCAATGGCAGGGGGGTCTAGCCATTTTTGCCTACGCGAGCCAAAATAACTGAGCCCGTATTTACATATAAAATTTTTATTTTTCGGTGTATCGGTATGGTGTGTGTGTGTGAGTGTGCGGGCACAATACACGGCAATTGTTGTTATTAACCGTAACTGCTCGCCATATACCGCCCGCCCCCACATTCACATGTAAACTTTTTGCCTCACCTTTTGCTATGCTGTTCTCGTATCACAGTTGACTCTGTTGTTGTTGTTGCTTTCTCGTTTAGTGAGTGCTTTCGTGGAATGCGCAATTTCTAGTTCCGCTTTTGGTTTCCTGCAGGCTCTTTAGTTTCCTCGATCCCTGACGATTGGGGTTTTCCAGCACACACACTTGCGCCCGCACAAATGTGTTGGGAATTATTGTGAAAACATAATTTCCGCAGAGCTTTTTGTTTATTTTCTATGCAAAATAAGGGAGAGCAGTTACAAAAATGTGGCAGCACTGTTTGCGACACCGATAGCTTAAAGTTGCCACTTTTAGCTGTATATCGATATAATATATCGATTAATATAGAAAAACGTGGCTACGCTGGATTTGAATTTAATTCTAAGTCCGCCAAATGTTTCGCTATCAAATTGCAAAAATAACTACATATTATTTTGACTTATATTCAACAATTTTAAAATTAAAATGTTGATTTTATCAAATATGACTTGTTTTTTATCAATAGCAATGATAGTGTGAAAACTAATTGCTGATTGCAATGAATGATAATTTGTATCAGTACACAATGAATAACAGTTCAGATGATATCTTACGGACTTTATTTGAGAGCTTTACGTTGTCATTCAATTGAAAATCCGTGTCGTTGATAAGTGTCAATTAAATGATTTAAGAAAAGAGGCGCACAAAGGCGATGTTTGTACACCCTAACCCTTTTTAATCACTCTTGGAATATTAGCGAATGGTTTTCATTTGTTTCGAATTTTTAACTATATTTTTATTTTTATATAAGTTAGCAACCAAGTTTAAGATAAAAAGTAACTCCAATATTAAAGGATCTTTGACTTTATTAATGATGTAAAACAGTTTAAATAACATAGAACAGTTAATGAAATGGTGCTCTCTCCGGCAACTGGGAAATCCATTTGGAACCCACATTCAATTGAGCCAATTTCCAGAGTCCTAGCCAGATAATAGGGAATACTTGAACCACTGCAAACTCTGCAAATCGGCTAAGGATCTCCCGCCAAGGACCGTAATCTCGCATTCGCCACAATAGAACCATGGACGTAATGTTGCTCATAAACAAAAGCCATACAAAGATTTGGCGTTCGTGTGCCCAGATATCTTTGTAGTTACCAGCCAGGATGCAGAGCAGGAGCAACCAGGGCAGAGTCAGCTTAATACAAACTACCAGAGCATGAGTCACGTTTAAATGGCCGAGACAGGACTCATGCAGGATGTCCAAGAAATCGTCGAATGCCGGGAAGCTGCCGATTGCAAGCAGAGAATACCAGCTATACAGGAATATGTATATGGCGGCGGTTTTCGGTCCAATATTCTCATTCCTCTCCAGCTTCATCCGCAGAGCCACCTGCAGCTCCAGGGCTAGCATTTGGATAACTACCACTTCGTAGGATGTGCAGGATAACGTGTACAAGGTACTGAGGTTGAAGAACATCAGTTCGCTGGGCTGGAGATTACGTCTTTGCCAGAACGCCACGAAGACCAGGTATGTCCAGGATACTATGTATGTTGCGCCTGGATACCAGCCTATAAGAACATGCTCGAGGGCCACGAGCATCACAAAGAGGTTGCTCAACCAGGTGACTAGATTGTGGTAAATGCCACAGGCCAGAGGTCGCAGTAGGGTGAGAAGGATACTTAAAACTAGAGCTCCTGGTTGAGAGCAGCCCAAGGACTCTGGTTGAAATGGCAGACACGCAAGTCCCAGTAGCAGCAGCAACCAGAGGTAGAAGAAAAATCCTCGGACTCGGAAGGCATCTCTGTTGGAAAAGCAGGCAAAGGATAAATAGCCCAGGGTAATAAACCAACGCCTAACGAATCCTCCCAAGCAAATTAAAGCTATAGTCACAGGCAGGAGTAAACTACAGAACCCGGCCATCCTGGGACGTTTGCCGATCATCTTCAGGCTAAGCATCCAGTACAATGAGGGCAGCAGAAGAACGCTCATCACCGAGAAGGGGAATCCATCGAGAAGCATGTAAATCACCAAGATCCCAGTCAGTGTTCGGGAGGCAGCCCGCCACCATATCAGGCGATGTAATGGCCTCACTGCCAGGTCCGCAGAGTTTACTTTTGAGACAGCTTCACTTTCCAAGTGACAGCGCACACAGTACACCCAGCCAATCTCCGCCAGACTCACCGCAACCAACAAGGCGATTTTATAGAAGTTCTGATAGTAGTCGATTGCCTTGATCAGCACCGGCATGAAGTTGGCTGCATAATCCCGCATAGCCTTAAAGCGACGTTGAGTCTTCAAGCCCATGGAGTTCTTCAAAAAACTATCCATTGTTTTGGCGTCCAACCAGAAGGCCGGTAATCTGCTGGGATGCTGCTCCCAGAGGTGTCGGGCTTGGGCCAGAAGCTGTCTGGCATTGGTCAACATGGCATTGGCCTCGTACCTTATACTGGCGTTCAGAAATCCGTTAGGGAGGATGCCCCTACTGTTCACTGGCGGGGGCAGTCCCAGCAAGGCGCTCATGAGTGCTGTGATCTGTGGTGGGTGCAGGACATGCAGTGGCAGCCTGAACCCAGTGCTGTTGGCTACAAAGGTTCGTCCTGGCATGGACTTAATGTGAGCCACACCGGATCCCCAGAGGAAGAAGGGCGATTCAACCGCCAGCTTGCATTCGGCTGGAAATAGAATCTGATTAGTGGAAGCTCTAGGAAGAGAAGAGTGTCTTTTATCTCACTTTTAGGTTGCGGATTTCCCAGATTGGAGGTCAGGAGATATGCCGTTCTGTTATCGGGGAAGTTTTTTTCAAACTGTTTATAAATGTCATGGATATTCGATTCGATTAGGGAGAGTGTCTTTAGGGATGGTTCCACTCCTGTCAGGTGGATAAAGAAGACTAGTCCCGTGATATTCTGCAACCGGCTGGAATCCCTGCAGAGAAATTGTTCCACGGCGTTGTTGGTAGCTTGCTCCGGTTTGGATTTGGATGAGGTTCCGGCGGATCGACTCTTGTAGTTTATCACCTTGACTTGGCCCATGTCGGGAAGGCGTCTGAGGACTTGCGAGGTGGTCCAGGCATAGCTTCGGTTACACCGTTTGAAAATTGTGTCGAGGGTCGGATAATGCACCCATCCACGTGCCACCATCGCTGCATTCTCATTGTAGCCGGTAAACAGGGACACGTATGGTGACAAGGACGAATAGGTGGTTGTCTCAGGACGACTAACTCCCATGAGACCTTCCCGCATAAAGATGCCCTGGAGTAGGGGTATGGAACCACATCTATTGGACAAGAATGTTTGGGCAGAGAGGCCATCCCTCAGCAAAATGACAAGACGATCGGCCGGGGGACGCTCCTTTAGCGGTTCCACATTTTGCGGTTCCAAGTCTCCCAGAGAAGGAGCCCTCAAATATATAATCCCCACGGAGACGACCAAAATCAACTGCAGCAGGATAAGACAATGGTAGCTCAGCATTTTTCCACAAATTTCCACGGCTTCCGTTTTCTTTCTAGACCAGAAGAAGAGGACTTTTCCCCCAGGACAGTTACTCTGCCATCTCTGTCAAATTTTTCAAAGGTTACTTGGATTGTGGGTCAGAAAGCCAAACCTATTTGGATTCTCTAACACTCATCGATGTTTTAGTTTCCCTTCCATCTTAGTAAGCTAAAATACCTCTGATTTGAATTCATGGATCATCGTAGCATTTGCTAGAAATTCAGAAATGAACCTGTCTTTACTCCAAACTGGACTCTGCTGTGTGAGCTCAGTTGCCATCAAGGTTTTGTTCCTTGTGTATCGTCGACTTTTGTCTCGAATAATTGCAAACGTAAAATACAAGCTAAAAATGTGGAAACTTCAGGCGCTACTGGTGCAGATGCTCCTGCTCGTCTGCTTGCTGCGATTATTCTTCCAGCCCGGTGCACTGGAGCACCCGGAGCCACAGAAGACACTGCCGGAGTTGGGCCTTCCGCAGCCCGCTGAGCGTCTAGTCTTGTTCCTCGTCGAGGGGCTACGGGCAGAGACCTTTTTTGGTTCCGACTTCCAGCATGTGACCCATCTCCGGGAGCTGCTCAGCAAGCACGGTCTCGTGGGCGTGTCTCGCACCACTGTTCCCACACTCACCCGATCCGGCGAAGTGGCTCTGCTCGCCGGCTTCTATGATGCGCCTTCGTTGTTGGTGGACGAGGGCTTCGATACCATCTACAATCGCACCTCGTCCGGGCCCAATACGGTGGTTCTCAAGTTTTCGGGTTCCCCTCGGAAGGTGTTTAAGAAAGTCGAAGCATCCTTGAAGGATGTCGATACTTACAACAGATTGAGGATAGCCACACGGTCGGTAATCGGCCTCCAGATGGAGGGCCTGACCGCGGAGAGCCCGCTGGACGAGAGGTATCAGGCGAAGTTTAGAAATGCCCAATGGACTGTACGGGAGACCTATCATATGTTTGAAAGGGTGTTTGCCGACCAAGCTACAGTTTATCTAATGACCTCCGCCCATGGACTTACTGATTTGGGTGAGTTACTTCCGTGGGGGTTTATCCATAACTAGACTTAGCCCTTTTTCTGTCTAGGGTCGCATGGTGGAGCGACACTTCGGGAAACAAGAACTCCCTTCTATCTTTGGGGAGCTGGGGTCAATCGCTTGGCCAACAACTTTAGCAGCCTGGAGCTCCACAATGGCACTCATATGCCGCTGCACAATTTGGACCAGATTCAGTTGGCGCCTTTGGTTTCGGCCCTGATCGGCTTGCCGCCTCCGATCAACAATTTGGGTGTCCTTCCTCAGGGATACATGATGGTGACACCGGAGTACATGAGGAAAGCCATGGACCTGAATGCCCTGCAGCTGCTGGCCCTCGCCAAGGAAAAGATCCGGAAGCATGAGCGTGGCATCTTCAGCAAATGGCTTCCGAGCTCCATGGATTTGGATTTGTCCCGGATTGCCTACTACCAGAACCAGATGGACCGCCTCTTGGAAATGGGAACGAGCGGCAAGGCCATGGAGACGAGCCAACTGGCGGCCGAACTGTCTCTTAAGACCTTGAAGTACTACAGTACTTACTTACACATACCAGTTGAAGTTACTACAGTACTGGCCCTATTGGGCTGGATGTACCTTTTAATGATCAAGATATCGAAGTATGCAATGGAGTCCGATGAGAAATGCCGCGGATTTGTTTCATGCTCCACAGTGACTCTTTTTTCATTGGGACTCTTAGTCGGAGAACTGGTGTTCCTGCAATGTTCCTCCTTGATGACGGTCCTCTGTGTGCTGCTGCCCTTCGGAGGTTGGTGCGTGACTCTGGCGGAGATGCCGGCTGAAGGGCGGTCAGTGCTTGCTCCGTTCAAACACTTGGTCTGGATTCTGGCTATGGGTGGAGGAATCCTATACGCGCTCCACTGCCGCCGCTGCTTCTTCAGCATAATCTTTGTCTGCTCGGTGCTGATCTACAACAGACTTGGCTGGAGGTACTTTTCCGCCAAGTTCCTAGCCTGGCTGGCTCTCGTTTTTCTGCTGAGTGGATTCTTATGGTCGCAGCCAGCAATGCAGATTCTGATGACCCCCGAATACCGCATCTTCCTACAGGCTGCCGGCATGTTGATGGCGGTTGTGCGACCCTGGGTCCTCAAGCATCAGTTCCCGGCACATGTGTGGCTCTTGAATGTGTCCGCTTTGGTGTCGGGAGGCGTGGGTCTCTACTTCCATGAGATGGGCAAGCCGGTGCCGATTTATATCATAGCAGGATCCTGGATACATCTCATCCACGCCACTTTGTCATTGGCTTTTTGCGCCAAAACCGGGCCACGCAATCGCTGGGAACTGATTTGTTTCAATCTTCTGACCATTCATGCCTTACTGAGTGATTCCTACTCGTCACTCTTTGTCCAGGCATTGGTCACGGAATATCAAATGGGATTAGAGGTACACGAGGAGAGTAAGGAGCTGGACGAAGAGGAGCAGGCGGATGAGGAGATGCAGAAGGAAGAGCTAATGACACCATTACAATACTTACATTTGTCCTACCGATTCGCAGCTTCCATCCTGCTCTACTTCTTCGCATCGCTCTTGGGATCAGGTCACTGGATTGGCAGCTTCACCTACTTGGGCAACACGGCTCGTCTATTCCTTCCGGAGCCGTACGCAGTGCCGATGGCTGTGCTCGTGTTGCTCCATCTGCTGATACCAGTCTTCGTGATCCTCTCCAGCCTTCGGGCAAAGAGCACTTTTGCCCGCTTGGAGGCCAGACCCATCCTCACCTGTCTAATGCTCATCTGCAATGGTGTTGTTTTGTTTTACGTTGCGTTTGTTGATCACCGTGCGGACTGGCCCTTGGTTCATCCTTTGGTGATCAGTGTGATCCTTGTCATTTTGGCCACAATTCTTATTTTTTCATGCGAAAGCCTGGTCGATGTTTTGTTTCGGGAATTCAGTCTTAAAGTACCTGGCATGAAACGAGTGGCCCATGAGAGCCAACTTCCGAATCTCTCGCAGTCACAAAACGAGGACTGATCGACGAAAAAGGTTATCGAAAAAAAAATTAACTAAAATGTAACTAAATTATTTGTACTTAAGCATGTTATTACCTTTATAAAGATTTTCACCGATTTATTGCTTTGACAATGAAATGATTGTGCTTTTATTTTAACTTATTTATAAAAATTTAATGAGGCTGGCAAAGTTAAAATCATGGGTAAGCCAAAATACCAACTTTGAAGAAACTTTAAATATAATATATAGGAGTCATTAAAGACCCACGGTGATGGCTATATCTTCCCCAATTCTCAACCGATTCTCAAGCGGAGTACCTTGAACGATTTCTAGATCGATTCGCCACCGTTCTGCATCAAAATCCGGGGACAAAATATTTTTTAGATTTTTTGTCCATTTTTGGTGATGGGATATCTTGAAAATGGGATTTCCCCTATAGGGTCCACGGTGATGGCTATATCTTCCCCAATTCTCAACCGATTCTCAAGCGGAGTACCTTGAACGATTTCTAGATCGATTCGCCACCGTTCTGCATCAAAATCCGGAGACAAAATATTTTTTAGATTTTTTGTCCATTTTTTGTGATGGAAAATCCCTTGAAAATGGGATTTCCCCTTTAGGCTCAACGGTGATGGCTATATCTTCCCCAATTCTCATCCGATTCTCAAGCGGAGTACCTTGAACGATTTCTAGATCGATTCGCCACCGTTCTACATCAAAACCCGGAGACAAAATATTTTTTAGATTTTTTGTCCATTTTTTGTGATGGAAAATCCCTTGAAAATGGGATTTCCCCTTTAGGCTCAACGGTGATGGCTATATCTTCCCCAATTCTCATCCGATTCTCAAGCGGAGTACCTTGAACGATTTCTAGATCGATTCGCCACCGTTCTACATCAAAACCCGGAGACAAAATATTTTTTAGATTTTTTGTCCATTTTTCGTGATGGGGATCCCTTGAAAATGGGATTTCTCCTATAGGGTCCACGGTGATGGCTATATCTTCCCCAATTCTCATCCGATTCTCAAACGGAGTACCTTGAACGATTTCTAGATCGATTCGCCACCGTTCTGCATCAAAATCCGGAGACAAAATATTTTTTAGATTTTTTGTCCATTTTTCGTGATGGGATCCCTTGAAAATGGGATTTCCCCTTTAGGCTCAACGGTGATGGCTATATCTTCCCCAATTCTCATCCGATTCTCAAGCGGAGTACCTTGAACGATTTCTAGATCGATTCGCCACCGTTCTGCATCAAAATCCGGGGACAAAATATTTTTTAGATTTTTTGTCCATTTTTGGTGATGGGGATCCCTTGAAAATGGGATTTCTCCTATAGGGTCCACGGTGATGGCTATATCTTCCCCAATTCTCATCCGATTCTCAAGCGGAGTATCTTAAATGATTTCTAGATCGATTCGCCACCGTTCTGCATCAAAACCCGGAGACAAAATATTTTTTAGATTTTTTGTCCATTTTTTGTGATGGGATCCCTTGAAAATGGGATTTCCCCTATAGGGTCCACGGTGATGGCTATATCTTCCCCAATTCTCATCCGATTCTCAAGCGGAGTACCTTAAACGATTTCTAGATCGATTCGCCACCGTTCTGCATCAAAACCCGGAGACAAAATATTTTTTAGATTTTTTGTCCATTTTTTGTGATGGGATCCCTTGAAAATGGGATTTCCCCTATAGGGTCCACGGTGATGGCTATATCTTCCCCAATTCTCATCCGATTCTCAAGCGGAGTACCTTAAACGATTTCTAGATCGATTCGCCACCGTTCTGCATCAAAATCCGGAGACAAAATATTTTTTAGATTTTTTGTCCATTTTTCGTGATGGGATCCCTTGAAAATGGGATTTCCCCTTTAGGCTCAACGGTGATGGCTATATCTTCCCCAATTCTCATCCGATTCTCAAGCGGAGTACCTTAAACGATTTCTAGATCGATTCGCCACCGTTCTGCATCAAAATCCGGAGACAAAATATTTTTTAGATTTTTTGTCCATTTTTCGTGATGGGATCCCTTGAAAATGGGATTTCCCCTTTAGGCTCAGCGGTGATGGCTATATCTTCCCCAATTCTCATCCGATTCTCAAGCGGAGTACCTTAAACGATTTCTAGATCGATTCGCCACCGTTCTGCATCAAAACCCGGAGACAAAATATTTTTTAGATTTTTTGTCCATTTTTTGTGATGGGATCCCTTGAAAATGGGATTTCCCCTATAGGGTCCACGGTGATGGCTATATCTTCCCCAATTCTCATCCGATTCTCAAGCGGAGTACCTTAAACGATTTCTAGATCGATTCGCCACCGTTCTGCATCAAAATCCGGAGACAAAATATTTTTTAGATTTTTTGTCCATTTTTCGTGATGGGATCCCTTGAAAATGGGATTTCCCCTTTAGGCTCAACGGTGATGGCTATATCTTCCCCAATTCTCATCCGATTCTCAAGCGGAGTACCTTAAACGATTTCTAGATCGATTCGCCACCGTTCTGCATCAAAATCCGGAGACAAAATATTTTTTAGATTTTTTGTCCATTTTTCGTGATGGGATCCCTTGAAAATGGGATTTCCCCTTTAGGCTCAACGGTGATGGCTATATCTTCCCCAATTCTCATCCGATTCTCAAGCGGAGTACCTTAAACGATTTCTAGATCGATTCGCCACCGTTCTGCATCAAAATCCGGAGACAAAATATTTTTTAGATTTTTTGTCCATTTTTCGTGATGGGGATCCCTTGAAAATGGAATTTCCCCTTTAGGCTCAACGGTGATGGCTATATCTTCCCCAATTCTCATCCGATTCTCTAGCGGAGTACCTTAAACGATTTCTAGATCGATTCGCCACCGTTCTGCATCAAAATCCGGAGACAAAATATTTTTTAGATTTTTTGTCCATTTTTCGTGATGGGATCCCTTGAAAATGGGATTTCCCCTATAGGGTACACGGTGATGGCTATATCTTCCCCAATTCTCAACCGATTCTCAAGCGGAGTACCTTAAACGATTTCTAGATCGATTCGCCACCGTTCTGCATCAAAATCCGGAGACAAAATATTTTTTAGATTTTTTGTCCATTTTTCGTGATGGGGATCCCTTGAAAATGGGATTTCTCCTATAGGGTCCACGGTGATGGCTATATCTTCCCCAATTCTCATCCGATTCTCAAGCGGAGTACCTTAAACGATTTCTAGATCGATTCGCCACCGTTCTGCATCAAAATCCGGAGACAAAATATTTTTTAGATTTTTTGTCCATTTTTCGTGATGGGATCCCTTGAAAATGGGATTTCCCCTATAGGGTACACGGTGATGGCTATATCTTCCCCAATTCTCAACCGATTCTCAAGCGGAGTACCTTAAACGATTTCTAGATCGATTCGCCACCGTTCTACATCAAAACCCGGAGACAAAATATTTTTTAGATTTTTTGTCCATTTTTCGTGATGGGGATCCCTTGAAAATGGGATTTCTCCTATAGGGTCCACGGTGATGGCTATATCTTCCCCAATTCTCATCCGATTCTCAAGCGGAGTACCTTAAACGATTTCTAGATCGATTCGCCACCGTTCTGCATCAAAATCCGGAGACAAAATATTTTTTAGATTTTTTGTCCATTTTTCGTGATGGGATCCCTTGAAAATGGGATTTCCCCTATAGGGTACACGGTGATGGCTATATCTTCCCCAATTCTCATCCGATTCTCAAGCGGAGTACCTTAAACGATTTCTAGATCGATTCGCCACCGTTCTGCATCAAAATCCGGAGACAAAATATTTTTTAGATTTTTTGTCCATTTTTCGTGATGGGATCCCTTGAAAATGGGATTTCCCCTTTAGGCTCAACGGTGATGGCTATATCTTCCCCAATTCTTATCCGATTCTCAAGCGGAGTACCTTAAACGATTTCTAGATCGATTCGCCACCGTTCTGCATCAAAATCCGGAGACAAAATATTTTTTAGATTTTTTGTCCATTTTTCGTGATGGGATCCCTTGAAAATGGGATTTCCCCTATAGGGTCCACGGTGATGGCTATATCTTCCCCAATTCTCATCCGATTCTCAAGCGGAGAACCTTAAACGATTTCTAGATCGATTCGCCACCGTTCTGCATCAAAATCCGAAGACAAAATATTTTTTAGATTTTTTGTCCATTGGATAGGATGCATATTACCCAAGCTATGACTAGTTTCCTGAAATTAATGGTTCCAAATAACCTCGTTGCCTATTAGGTGGCTGAAAGTAATCCTAAACAGAGATTCCCAATTCCAGCTTTCAGAAAGGACTAATCATAAGAATTTATACGTTAAAAAGTTTAATGAATTTGTGTATTTTACAGTATATCTACCACATGGAAGTTTCATAAGTATTTATGGTTCGAGGGAGTAATACTTTAAGTAGAACATTAACTTAAATGCAGCTGGCTGGATTAGGTACACTTTGCAGGGCTTACAGCCAGGAAATGAGAACTTTTTTTGTGTCCCAGTAGGGGAACCTACTCGGCTTTAGGCTTCTGAGTTTCCAGATGAGCCTGAAATAAAGAGGAATTGGTTTTTAACGAAAAATCTTCGAAAATCTAACAAGAAACATACCTTTTCTGCTACTTTGAGAAGTCCATCGAAGCTGCTCTGGCCCGTCTCCATCACCATGCCATGGAAGATCTTGGAATCAGTGGCGGTGAGGAGTTCATAGGGCGAACCAAACTCCACTAGATGTCCGGCATCCATAACCAGCACTCGATCGGAGTCCATGATGGTATTGAGTCGATGGGCAATCGTCAGCACCGTGCAGTCCCGGAATTTGCTCCTTATGGTCGCCTGGATGAGGGCGTCAGTTTGCGGATCTACATTGGCAGTGGCTTCGTCCATGACCAGGACACGGTTCTCCCGGAGGATGGCCCTGGCCAGGCAGACCAGTTGGCGCTGGCCAACACTGAAGTTGGTTCCGCCCTCGCTGATTTTGCTCTGCAGTCCACTGGGAAGCTCGGAGATCACGGGCTTCAGTTTAACCTCCTCCAGAGCCTCCCACAACTTGGCGTCCTGGTACTCCTCGAACGGATCGAGGTTGTAGCGCATGCTGCCCGAGAAGAGCACTGGCTCCTGAGGGATGATGGATATTTTGCTGCGCAGGTCGAAGAGTCCCATCTCGGCCGTGTCCCGATCATCGATGGTGATGGTGCCTTCGTTGTAGGAGAGACGGAAAAGGGCGTTGATCAGTGATGACTTGCCGGCCCCAGTTCGTCCCACAATGCCGATCTTTTCGCGGGGCCTTATCTGGAAGTTGAGGGCCTTGAGAACGTACTTGGACTGCGGGTCCGGGAAGTACCGTAGGCACAGGTCCTCGGCCACGATCTCGCCCTTCTCGGGCCAGCTCGGCGATGGCTTCTTGCCCGGCCTAGACTCGAACTCTCCCTCCGGCTCAATCTCGTCGTACTCCACCACCCGCTCCACGGCTGTCATCGTGTTCTCCAGCTCCGCCGACTGCCGCATTCCCCACTGCACCATGCCAGTCATGCCCATCGCCTGGGTAATGGCCAGGCCCACCTCTCCAGTACTCTGCGGTGGATTGATGAAGTAGTTGAGGATGATGACCACAATGTACAAGGTGCAGAAGCAGTCAAGGTAGTAGCCAAAGGCTCGGTTCGTGGCCAGAAAAGTGTAGTATCCAGAACTATGCAGATCCTGCAGATTGTCGAATTCCGCGATTAGTTCCTTCTGAGCTCCCAGGGCCCGGATGGTGGGCAGGCCACTAATGGTGGTGCTCAGGTGCGAGTATATCGGCGATCTGGCCACCGCCTCCAATCGCTTTACATCCCTGGAGGTCTTCAGGTAGAAATCTCTGATGTAGTAGAAAATTATAGCCAAGGCAAGGGTCAGGATGAAGTAGTACGGATTCGTTATGCAGATGACAGCGACGATGCCACTCAGGGTGAGGAATATCTGCACCACGTCCAGCATAACGGAGGGCAGTAGTTCGTCAATCTGGCCCAGATCCTTGGAAAAGCGATTCAGAATGCGGCCCGAGGGGTTCGTGTTAAAGAAGTACATGGCCGCCCGCGTGATGCCCCGATACATGGCGTTGTGCAGTTGCTTGGAGCTCCGCATCGCCATCTGGTAGAAGAGCATCGTGCGAACAATGGTGAACACCACCACGGCTATGTTGAGGGCAGTGAAGTAATACATGTCCTCCGGATCGGTTTTCATATCCGCCTTGTCCTTATTTTTGTCAACCCTGCAATGAGTAAGAAATCTCTAGTTTTTGGACTGAATCATGGATAAGTCTACTCACCAATAGGCCAAGAAGTAGTCCGCCGCTGAGCTCAGGATCTGAGTGGCCAGGCAGAGAAAAAGGATAAAGAAGAGCATGCACCAGCTGCTACCGGCTGTGAGGTATTCTTTGTATAGTCCTAGGCCAATCTTGCCCTCCACACGGGTCTCCTGCATCTGCAGGGCCGCCTCTTGGGCCATCGACTCTGCCATGGAACTGAGGGAAGTGAAGCTGTTGTTCCGAGTGCTCGGCTTACTGACCCTGCTGTCCCTCCTGCTCAGCGAGGGCACACTCAGACGGTCCACCCCGTCTCCAGGTGGAACCTCCAACTCGTCGAAGGACTCATCCGTTTCATTCGGCGCTGTCAGCAGCTGGGCAAAGTCCAAGCCACTGCGCTTCATCGAGGAGTAGGTGCCCATGGCGCTGATCCGTCCCTTGTCCATGATTACGATGAGATCCGCCTGCTCCAGGAACTGCAGCTGATGCGTGACCAGGATAACGAGCTCACTTCGCAGGTAGCCACGCATGCACTGGTCAAACAAGTGCCGACCCACGTGGGTGTCCACCGCGCTGAGGGGATCATCGAGAAGGTAGATGTCCGCTCGCCGGTACACTGCCCTCGCCAAACTAATCCTGGCCTTCTGCCCGCCGGATAGGGATGCTCCGCGTTCGCCGACAATCGTCTTGTCCCCGTAGGGCAGAAGTTCAAAGTCCCTTTCCAGGGCGCACTTCTTTACAACAGTGCGGTAGCGGTGCTTATCTAACTCCAAACCGAACAGTATATTGTCACGCACTGTGCCTGTAAAGAGCCACGGTTCCTGCGCCGCATACGAGTAGCTACCACAGACCTTTAGGTGCCCACTCTCCGCCGGTAGCTCGCCAAGAATCGCCTGAATCAGACTGGACTTTCCGGCGCCCACAGGCCCGATGACAGCAACTAGCTTCCGACGACCCAGTTGAAGATTAATGTCCTCCAAAGTGGGCTCTACCGAGTGGCTCTCCCATCGAGCCTGGAACTGGCTGAACTCTATCAGGTTGTCCGACAGGCCGTTGCTCTTGGGGCTGTCCCCATTCAAGGCAATATCAGATTTGGGAATAGGACTCGGCGTTATTGACTTATCCCTGACCTGAGTCTCGGGGCGATGCATAAACGTCTCCAAGCGCCGTATGGAGACCATGAGCTCGGCAAACTGAGAGATTCCCTGGGGGAAGAACATCGTAACAGATCGCCGCAAGATATTGTAATAGGCAGTGACAAAGAAGGCCTTCTCGGCATCGAGTATGTTGCCCAACAGGACGAAGGCGATCAGGCTCGAGGACACGAAGATGCGGGACAGGAACATGGCGAAACTTAGGAGTATTCCGCGGATGTAGTTGACTTGCTTGATGCACACCATCTCATTGAAGCGGGTCAGCTCCACCAACTTGCCGAATGGCTTTTCCCAGGCATACATTTTGATGACCTGGATTCCCGAAATGATTTCGTTCATCATGCGGACACGCTCGTCGGTCCTTAGGGCCGTCCTTAGCCGCAGGACACTGGTCCTCTTGCCCAGATAGGACTGGAAGGGAAGAAACAACAGCATAACAGCTATTCCAAACAAGGAAGATACTCCGATCTGAAAAATAATTATGAAAAAATCGTTTAAGTTCTTATCGTTGGTTTTATGGGAGAATAAATTAACATTTTAATATGGGAACCCCCATACTCGAAATAATTTTTAAGGCAATGTATTTATTTAATGGAGCTTTCGTGAGCAGTAATTATCTTTCATTAATGTCCATTGGAATGACATACAAAATTTATATAGTTTTAATCTCATTTCTTTGCAAAAGTTATCTAGTTAGTCACATTGATAGAGCTCACAAGAACCGGTTTCCACATTTGTTTGAAAAGTTTTCCAAACAACGTATCCACCCACTCACCTCAAGGTACATCAGGTATGTGACTAGAATCAGTTCAAGTGGAGCCAACCACAGGTAGTGCACGTTGATTAGGACGGTATCGAAACGTCCAACATCATTGGAGAGGAGATTGACGACCTGGCCCACGGTGGTATCTCCTAAGGCAGTTCTACTTAGTCTTAGAGCTTTCCGATAAATCAGGCTACTGAGAGCTGGAAGTAGATCAAGGTTAGTGGGTTGAAGATTTTCTTAAAGAAGAGTATTTATTTACCGACACGCATTTTCATGCCAAGATGCAGTAGCCCCAGCATATAAGGATGACCTAACATAACACTAAACACCGACCCAGCAATGAGACCAGCTGCATAGAGCTGGGCCTTGGTCAGATCCGGATCCTTGCCAGAAAAGTAGGCCAATAGTCCAAAAAGACATATTGGCTGGGTGATCCTGATAATTAAAAGAAATTAAATAGAGTTTAAATCAATAATTGAGAGTACCTTACTTGGTTAGGAACTCCTGGAGGAATAGAGACAATCCTGTAAATGCCAAGTGCCATCCAAAAACTTTCACCATAGTACGACGCAGGCTGGGGAGCTCATTTTTTCCCGATTGCTCATCCCAAGCTTTGCACAACCGATCACCCAAGGAATCTGAAAAATAGATCCATCATTTAAGCTTCTATCTAATTCTAAAAAAAGAAGTAAAAAAACCTACCCGATTTGTGTTCCCTGAGGGCCCTGTAGAGATCCTTCTGTTCCAGCGTCTTCTTGCGACCCTTGAAGAGTACGGGAAGGGCAAAACTTTAGGTTGTGCGGGCATCATCACGTAGTTTCAGGTAAATCCAGATTTTATAAGAGTTATAAAGAAAACATAACATAATTAGTTGATGGTACTGTGTTATCAGAAGCTGTTGTGACAGCCAAAAAATGAATAGACAACTGAAATGCCTATACTCTTATCAGTGAGAAAAACAGTTGCCAGTTGAATTATAGTATACAATGGGGAGAGTTTCTATAAATTTTACCAATTTCATCATCGTTAGCAATAAAAGTTTATGGTAATCTAAATCAAGAAACTTCCTAATTCCTATATTTAATGTATAGGTATATCTTATCTATAATCTAAAATTATTTGGCATAAGTACCTTCACTTAGGTAGTTCATTCTGATAGCAGGAATTCCCCGTGACCTTAAACAAAGTTCGTTTTTTTAAATGTTTGTCACTGGGTAATCTAATCTCATTGTTTTTAATATGTGTCAATAAATCTAAGAAAGATATTATTTAACAAACCTAAATGGTTACTCCACCTTTGATAGCATTCTGACTCAGTGCTATATCAGCAACTCGTGTATATTACACCTTGCTCGATAAAACTATCCAATATCAAAGTACTTTTGATACAGAACATATTTGATTCACTTAAATGTCTTTTCAGACAATGGAGGCATGACTGGGCCGCTTTTAATTGGTAACCAATTGTATGTATAAAGCTGAAGCTCCGTCCAGCCGGATGGAAAAAAAAGATTTTCACGCTCCGGCCATGTAAATTAAACGATCCATTGAATAAAATAATCAACTTGTCAGTGTTGTCACGCCGGCAACCCCTTTTTGCTTTCCATCACATTAGTGTTCCATTTGGAGAGCACTGAGTAAAAACAGCACCTTAATTGGCCTTCAATGCGGTAATTTGTATTATCAAAGTGCTCTTATCACATATTTTTATCCGGATTTAAATGCTATTTGAACGAATGACGTATTTTAAAAGTATTTCTAGCCTGAATATATAATTAAAATGCATGCTAAAATATTGTATTGTTTACTTCAAAGCAAATATACGGAAGAATATATATTTTTATATATACTCTTTTTTGTTTTGTTATCTGTATCCCATAGTACTCACCAGAAGAAGAGCGATGAGATGGGATTGGAACGCTCCCGTGGATTCTCCGGGAGCTCGTCCGCTTTCATGGACTGCATTCTGAATGGCAGTACGTTGAACTAATTGGAGCTAAATTGGACTATATCTATATAGATGATTGCATTACAGGAGACTTGTTTTATCGCCGGGATCGGCTATGGGCGATCGCGGTTGATTAGCGCCTTTTGACTCGAAGGGGGACACGCGCTCGCCTCTAATATAATTAGTTCGGCATTAGCGGAGAGAAACCAGATGGAAATGCCACTGATTTAGAGTTTTCGGATCAACTTCGATTTCTATTCGCGCCCAAAGGGAGTAAACTTTTCCACTGTCACTGAGCAGGTAATAGCACTTGACTTTTGCCTTGAATCCCCTGGTTCGGGGGATACAAATACGAGATGAAAGATCACTTCACTTCGAAACACTTTGTATTTCTATCTGTTACAACCGAATTTCGTCATCGGCCGCGTTGAGTTGCTTTCAGCTCTATATTCCCCGTCGCGCATCGAACTTATCAGAATCCCCGCATCCACATGGCCGTATAGTATATATAAACTCGATCCGTATGGATCCGTAAGATACAATGGTTGGCCCCGTTCTAATGGTTGGTCGACAGCAGTCGAACTCTCTCACCACCAGTCTAGAGTTACCCGGTTCCGATTCGGAGAGGACTAAATGGCTCGTTCCATCTCTCATTATACTCATAGATCTCTCTCAGTTTGTTGTGCCAGGTTAAGATCGGTCCACTCAGAAAGATGGGATCATTTTTCTTCTATTGAATTCCTGAAAATACCTGGAATTGTAAAGTAAATTATTTCAAATCAAATCAACATTTTAGAAAAATAGAGGTTTTATATATGTAGATCCATTCAAAACCAACATCTTAATTTAAAATTATAAATATATATAACATTTTGAGTGTATTTTATTATTACTCATTCCCGTGTTTTCTCTATTTTGAATGGATTTCGCTCTCTTTTAATCAACTCTCTCATTATATCTCTTTGGTGGTTTTTGGTATCTTGTATCTTGTGGGTTGTGCATTATATCTGGCCTGATAAGAAAGGCTATAGCAACTGTCTGCCCCATTTGCATGACACTTTGCTATTGTAATCAGTAATAAACAACTGGTAATAATGATACGCATTATTATATCATACAAACAAACTCGATATTACTTTGTTTCGTTGACTGGGTTCATAGATTTAAGAATATTAAGAACAATATTTAATTTCATAATAATCGAAGTAACACCTAGATAAAATAAAATATTTAATATTTCATTTAATACATTTTCTTTATTAACGGTCTTGCCTCCATTTTTAAAAACAAATCTGCAAAGCCTAAAAGTAGACAATAGCAAAGTATAGCTTTCGGCTTTGTGAAAGAAAAGAATATATGCCTTAAAGTATGCAACATTGAAACCATTTCTTAGGAAGCCGACTGTTATTCGTTACTTTTTAAAAACTAGCTTTTTTAGTAATATTAAATGTGTTTTTTTGATAATGATAATGATTACTTTATTTTAAACATGGTATAATATAAGAATAACTAATCCATAGTTTCCTTCATTCAAAAACTCCCATAAAGCTTACTTTATCATCATGTTGAAGACTGAGAATCCTAAGAGAGCAACAATTGGAATTGGAAAATAAAGGTATGCATGTGCTTTAACGAGGGGAATGTCAACTGGGGCAAGCATTTGTAGATCGTGGGTAATTTTAATATTGCATTGGATGGAAGGAAGTCCTCGATTAGATTAACATTCACAGCCGGAATTCAAAAGAAATTCATACAAATGTGCAACAAATGGTGATGAAAGCTATTTATAAACTCTGGCCTGGGATTTTGTTGAAATTCCGGTGACATTTTTATTAGCACGGTAGCACTGACCCACAGATGAAAGCTTCAATTTGGACAAGTTCTGCAAGACAGTGCGGACTCTCTAATGCGAACTTTAGGTAACAATCAAGAAAAGACTGTACAATTTCATTTCGAAAATAATTATTAAGATGGTTATTAAAAAAAAGTATTTTCCATCAATCAATTAACTTAGACTGTAGTATGCTGACTGTTTTTAGAAGAGCCATTGCAATTCAGTTGTCGGTACCTTTGAGTCAATTACGGCTGCAGTTAATTGATCACGCCAAGGTGAAAGAGGGGCTGGTGTTGTGGCTATCTGACTATCACGTCTGGCCCATTATACGGGGGTCATAATACGGCAAGGGGCCAATGTGCGGTGGTTATATGGCCGGCATACATAGGACCGTTAATATTCAAAGCAAACTTTTTGGAGAAAAGTTTTCAGAAGTTCGGCGTCAGCAATCCTACACCCTTGGGTACTGTACTTGAGTGGGTTTTGCATCTGGTAAGATGATCTTCAGATCGATGCCACATCATTAAATGTTTCCGCTTATTCTCAGACAAATATAAAAAATGTCAAATAAAAGAAATGTAAAGAGAAGAGAGATGAGAGCGAGTGAGAGATGTTATTTTTAAATGCACTGTAAAAAATAAAGAAGTCTTTATGCTATCAGCTTGCTAAAAATATAATACTATTTTATTGTTAATTTAGTAGATAAAAGTAGTTAGAGATAAAAGTTTTGCGCTAAATTTGTATACATATAATATTTTTCAGTGATGTTAAAACTCTTGCCTGGTAACGCCATGAGCTGTTCTATCGAGAGCAGCCGGCAAAGCTTTTTTTTAAGCTTTTTTTCAATTCGCCGCCTCGCTTTCGTGTAAGAAGAAGAGCCTATAAAAACTCTATAAAAGCGGGCCGGCTACTCATTCGTGAAGCTCGTCTGAACCCTCGTGTAGGCCGCAGATTTTTAATCTCATCTTCAAATAAAAAAATGTCTTTCATCGGCAAGAAGTACAAGCTGGAGAAGTCCGAGAACTTCGATGAGTACATGAAGGAATTGGGTAAGTGTCCTTAAGAATTGCATTTGCAAGTGTGCCTAAAGAAGTTATGAAGAAAGGTGGAAAAGAGAGCCAAAAAACACGCCACCAAATTTAGCCGGCCGGCATTTTATGCACCATTTTGGCACTGTGTGAGTGTGCAGTTCTGTGTGTGTGAGATGAAAATCAATAGAGGAGGCAAAACGGAGAAAAACGTGCTCCAATTCATCCATGGATGTACTTCCTTTTCCAATTTACCGTTACCAGTTAGTGGGGTAAATACATATAATACCGTAAAACCGTAAAAGCTTATCGCTTGGGGCACAATAAACTTAAAATCTAATTAATTGAAGTGTGTACTTTAGCCCCCACTTTTGAGTCACAAATTTTTTTATTACTTAACATAAGTATGTATGCAAGTTTGTTGCTAAAAAAAAAAAGAGGCGTTTGTGGTTGTTTGCTTTCCATGGGATCATCATGAGACAGCTTTTGCGACAGGTGTCTCTTACTTTTGATGTATTTTCGGGGAAAGTTTCCCCAAAATGAACTTTGCTCGCTTTGGGCCATTAACTTTGTTTTGGCGATCTTTGACCTGTACAGTCAGACTACCTTATACCATATAGTAGATATAGAATCTAATACTAGTATAATAATTATTGAGAACCATTTCTGTATTGATTTGTGAAAAATAAATGCCGTCTGGGATCTAGAACCGGAGATGTCGGCGCCGCTTAGAACGACGGATCTTCTTACTAGGCTCGGTTCCCCAGAATTATTCTCATACAAGTACTGTATACAATTGCGGTTTCGGTTTTAATGCTAGACTTGGTCCCTGCCACGTAGATCTCAATTTTCAAACCCAAACAATCAGTACCAGCCGCCCGCTTGTTGGCGGGGGCCTCGTCCGCAGTTATCAGCTATCGGCTGGTACACCGTCGTATATATAAATGCGATAAACTATTTGGTTTATGGCATTGGGAACGATAATTGGGCGGCGATTGCGGATTTTGCACTTTGGGCCCTATCATTGGCAAAAGTTGTTGGAAATTGCAGGCCATAGGCTGGCTAATCTATTCAAGGTTCCCGATTCCGGGACCCATTGAGTGCATATATGTATATAGAAATCGATCTGCGGTACAGTTGCCAGGTTCCCATGAGTGGGAAACTCACAAGTAGAGGCAACGTCAGTTGACACTTGACTCGAGGGTGCTTGACAAAGGCACAAAATTTCCGTGGGGGTCTCTGGCCCCCCATACATAATTGAACATAATTGATTGGCCCACTTGATGACTTGATGGATATACAATGTCCCCAATAAAATGTTCAAAGGGATGCTCATTTTTGGGGATTATTTTATATTATTTAAAATATATATGGAAATATATATTTTTTCCTTGGGAGGGTCCATGTTTATTATTGAGTGCAACACTGCGATAAGATGCTGTTGCCGTCCAGCTTGATTTTTATTCCAGAGGGCTGGACAATTGATAAGCCCCGGACCCGCATTGTTCGTTAACCTTGAGCTCGACTTTTGACGTTCCGGCCCATGTCTGCAGGGAACTTTATTAATTTTAATTAAATATGATACGATTTGCATTGTGGATGCGGCTGGGAGCCGAAGTTTAATGGGCTAATTGAATTATGTGCAGCATTTTCTGATTTATGACTATATGATTTTCATTTCCTTTCCCTTTACAGGCGTCGGCATGATCATGCGCAAGGCTGGCAACAGCGTCAGCCCCACCGTCGAGGTGACCCAGGATGGTGACACCTACACTCTGACCACCACCTCCACCTTCAAGACATCCACGATCAGCTTCAAGCTGGGCGAGGAGTTCGACGAGGAGACCCTGGACGGACGCAAGGTGAAGAGCATCATCACCCTGGAGGGCAACAAGCTGACGCAGGAGCAGAAGGGCGACAAGCCCTCGACCATTGTCCGCGAGTTCACCGACGGCGAGCTGATCACTGTAAGTTTGAAAATCTCTACTTTTGGTATCCTTCCCGATCCTTACACCTTTTCCTCACCTTGCAGACCCTCACCATTGGCAGCGTGAAGAGCGTGCGCACCTACAAGGCCGTCTAAGCGCCCCGGGAGCTGTCCTCGACTGATCTATAACTATAACCATACGACTACTTGCATTGCAACTAACTCAGCCACTATTGTTATTGACTAACAGTAAATTAAACTAAACCCAAAGGAGCAGCACACCTAACATTAATTTATAATCGCACGAGTACACACCCCGATGGTGTATTGTGGAGCGAAATTCCAAATGCATTTTTGAATAAACCAAATCACTGAAGTGCTTTAAAAACTGTGTATCCTTCTTATAAGTTTGACATGGAAGATGCAGTATATAGACATATAGAAAGATATTAATTTATTAGGCTATTCGTTTGTATCCAAAACTGTACAATGGTCCAGGGGGATCTGGGAATAATTGAATAGGAATTATTCTATATTCAGCCAAATTTTGAATCTAAATATATAGATGGCCTTCAAGTGTCAATCTGGAATATGTACCTCAAACTAAAATGCACTCTTTTCTTAGAATCAAATTATATTCGATATATAGAGGCCCATTGGAGAAAATATTTCTAATATTAAATTTCTTAAAATTCCACTGTACTCGAGCTACATTATTCGCCCACTCGTTTCCTGCACTGCAATTGAGAATGACGTGTGCGAGCATAAGCGTGGGGGTCAGTGGGTTGGACTAATCCTACAAGTGGGGGCGGCGGCATCTTTATATAGCGGGGGCTGGCGCAGCCGCACTTTCTAGCGCCACCGAGTTGGCAGCTCTGGCGTTCTTACCTTCCTGCCGGGCTTCAGTTATCATTCAACGTTTACCGGCTGCGTTAGTAATACACATATTATCCGAATATGGCCACAAACTACGTCAATTGGTAAAAAGCAAACCGTTAAGTTGGTCAATTAGGTTTATAAATTAGAAATTGATAGCGTATATATCGACTGGATTTTATAGAGCACTATATAACTGTACTGATAAGCTGGATATGATACCATGTTGTGTCAGAGGGTGTGTGTTAGAGTGTTGGTGTGCTCCAGTTGTGTAATCGCGGTGGAAAAGAGTGCCTACTTTGCGGCGTCCTCCAAATTTTGAAACAAAGTCAAACGTTTTGCTTTCCATGCCCCAGAGCTTTTCCAGCCGAAAGCTTGCGGGTGTGTTGTTGGTGGTCAAACGGGTTTCTGATTAGAGAGTAAGAGTGAAAGAGAAAAGGGATCCCAACTGCGGCGTCAGCAGAAACACGTATCACGCCATAGCCGTTACTTGGGGGCTTGCTCTCTCGGTGCTCTCTCTTGAGTAAGGGGGGATCCAGCTCAATACACTGTAAGAATATTTGGGCAATACTTAAAATAACAGTGGGATTCATAACTTTTCTTTAATTAAAAAAGGTTTATTTTAGTTTTCTTTATAAACTTTTGAAATATTCTTATCTAATCAATAGAGTTAAAATGTTTAGGATTTTTCCCCAGTGTAGTGGGGATGTTTACAAATCGCCGACCGTTGGAACTCTTAGCTTTCGCTCCCCGATTGGAAATTGGAATTTTTTTTAGTTCTCCGATCATTTGTGTTTTGAGGTTCAGCCGATCGCGGTTCCCAGTTCCCAGTCACTGTCTCTCCGCCACCGCTGCAGCTTCTGGCCATTCCACAAAATTAATTATTCCGTTTTGCATTTATATCTAAGTGAGTAGTAATAAAAACAGAGGCAATCTACGAGTCTGCATTCTCCATTAATGATAAAAATTAGATGCATCCCAGTGAGGGGGAGATTGTGTGGGTGGGTGGGTGAGCTAGATAGTTTTTTTTTTAGCCACCTTGCATGTGTGTATGTGCGTGTTTGAATGGAAGCCGTTAAAACTTTCCAGCGAAGACCTATCAGCAGTCATTGTTTATGTTTATCGTGATTTCCAGCCCGATACGGAAAATGTGGATTAAACAGAAGAAAGCACGAGTAATGCATAATTATGAACTAAAATTTATGGTCATGCAAAAGTTATATAACCGCCCTGAAACAATTCAAAATTGTCAAGTGCAAAGAGCGAATCCAACTCGACAGCTGATACTACTCGTATATGGGTGTACCTCTCCCACTTGCCTGCCTGCCTAACCAATCGGTAGACACAGACTATATACTATATCACCCGATCTTAAGTAATCATTGAATAGATTTTCTAACAAAATATGTGTGTAGTTGTTTGGCGGTTCTTCATTCCTCTGGGGTTTGTTATGAACCTTGTCCTCAAGGTGAAATTTTTGGCGATAAATGGGTGTGCGTGGTGGAATACTACTAGAGATAGCCATTGATTATACTAATCGACTGGAAATTACCCGCATTAGAGAGCAGGGCTTCTTGCAGAAACCGGTCTACAGAGATGTCATAAAGTAGAGTATCTTTCTATCTTTAAAACATTTTAAAAGAATCTAGCAGATACCTAAAGGGATATTATTATATTTAGTTTGTTTTGAAAACAAAACACTACAGATAGGCTATAATATTTTGTTTATTTTTCAAATCTAGGAGTCTATTTATACTTTTTCTACGTTACTGCCCATTGATCTTTTATATTTCAAGACACAAGACTACAAAAGATACTCAAGAAAAGACTTTTTTTTTAATATTCGAAGATGACTTTCCGCAAGAAAATTTCAAGAGTAGTCCGCCATGCAAGGCTCATGTATTGGTGGAGACGTCCCATCGTCAACAATGGTCTTTAAATAGCTCTCGACTGGATGTTGAGTGGACCAATTACCTAAAATGTGACTCTTTTATCCGCAGTTAACACACACACCCGCGCCTTGGCTAGCATGGATCCTCGGAGGCTGAGTCCTTTCCCCCAACGCCCCTGGATGAGGTCGGAGGGCGCGGCGGCCGGTGCCGGGACCGGAACCATGGGCCTGAAGGGCATTGTGGCGGGGGGCATTACCGGAGGTATCGAAATCTGCATCACATATCCCACCGAGTTCGTCAAGACACAATTGCAGCTGGACGAGAAGGGAGCAGCCAAGAAGTACAACGGTATCGGCGACTGTGTCAAGAAGACGGTCCAGCAGCGTGGCTTCTTCGGACTGTATCGTGGTCTCAGTGTGCTCCTCTACGGCAGTATTCCTAAATCGGCTGCGAGGTAAGATTCTTCTTCAGATTCTTCATAAGAATCGCTTTAAAGTAGACTCTGAATGACCTAGGAAACTATTTCTAATTTGCCCTAAATGGCAATTTTCTTATCAGCCCGTCTGGTAAAGCTTTATCAGTTCGGGCAAGTTTTTTATAAACTCGACAAGAAATATATACATACATGAGGAAAGCAGGAATTTCTAAAATATAATACTCACTTAATGTATCTTACAGATTCGGCGCATTCGAGACCTTCAAAACGAGGATCCAGGACTCCAATGGACAGCTAAGCAGTTCCGGCAAGTTGCTGTGCGGCTTGGGGGCTGGTGTGTGTGAAGCTGTTGTGGCCGTCACGCCCATGGAAACCATCAAAGTCAAGTTCATCAACGACCAGCGCAGCGCCAATCCAAAGTACAAGGGCTTCGCCCATGGAGTGGGACATATTATTAAAAGCGAAGGCATCGGCGGTATCTACAAGGGTCTGACAGCTACCATCCTGAAGCAGGGCTCTAACCAGGCCATTCGATTCTTTGTGCTGGAGTCCCTGAAGGATATATACAAGGGCGATGATCCCAAGAAGCCGGTCCCCAAGCTGGTGGTGGGTTTGTTCGGTGCCATTGCCGGCGCTGCTTCCGTGTTTGGTAATACGCCATTGGATGTCGTGAAGACCAGGATGCAGGGCCTGGAGGCAGCCAAGTACAAGAACACTGCCGACTGTGCGGTGAAGATCCTGAAGAACGAGGGTCCTGCCGCTTTCTACAAGGGCACAGTGCCCCGACTGGGTCGCGTTTGTCTGGATGTTGCAATTACGTTTATGATCTACGACTCGTTTATGGACTTGTTCAACAAGGTATGGGTCTAACCAGACCAGAATGGTACGGCTGCGGCTTAGTAGTTAGTTCGTATGGATCCAAATCGTGCATTTTTTCCTGACCCCCCTTTATATCCTAGTCGGTTGTTGCAATAGATTCTATTTTTTGACATATTCCAAGTACGCATTTTATCGATGTATCGACCCGATTATATCCAAATTAAATAATGAATGTTTCAAATCGATTAGTTGTTATTTGAGTAATAATAGCACTTTAAAAATTTAAATATATTTTATATATTTATTTTAAAGACATTCTCTATTTTTTGATAAGTTTAAGATTCAAAGAAATTAAGATTCTACAAATTCGGTGAAACTTGTTAATAAAATCTTTTAAATGATGTGGCTTATCATAGATTACGCTAAAGCAAACTAGTAAGTCTTAGATAATAACTAGCACCGGGAAATTTAGTCTGTCTGGGGTCGTTAAAGCGAGCTCTTTAATTGCCACCTGGGACAGATTCAAATAAATTAGTCCAAGTCTTTCGCTCAGAGCGTTTCCAATATCCGAAAAGGTATACACGATTGCATTACATCACTCTGGATCATATTTAATTGCAACTAATTGTGAATAGACTGCTTGCACCATAGATTAGGGCGTATTACTAAATGCTTAAGCTAAGACACTCAGCGCACTACGTTGAGGGGAATGGAGGCGTGCTTGCTGCTCACAATGCGGCCGAGGGTTTCGTCGAGCGGTGCTCCCAGCTCCTGCCAAATGCACTTTCCAATCAGGGAGATTTCTTCGAGAGGCGGCCGGAAGGCCACTAGCAGATTCAGGCAGATCCCGTCCGTGTTTCCCTGCTCGGTCGGCGAGTGCTCGACACTCAGCAATCCGTGGGGCCGGTGCTGCGGCAGTTCGGCGCCGAAAATTTCAATCATGAACTTGCGCAGCGTCGAGTGCAGGCTGCGATTCGGATGCAGTTCCACCGTGGGGAAGTGATGGGAGTTCTTCTCGCTCACCAGCACGTTCAGCGAGTTGTGGGACCTCTTCCGCGCCACGGCCAATACTCGTAAATAGTTCCTTGTGTGGGTACAGCGGGTGGGCAGGATCTTGTTGTGCCAGAGGGAGGAGCTGCTCGGAATCTTCTGGCCATTGTAGTAAGCCCTGCCTATTTCGATTATGTTGAGTATGTCACTGGATCGCAGAGGCATCTCCTTGGGAGTGCGCACCCAGCGTGCCTGAATGGACTCGGCATCGGCGTCGGCCGGCGTTTTCAGACGACCGCCAGTGATGCGGCCAGTGAGCACAAAGCGGAACCACGACCCGCCGGCCGCTTCCACAGCCAGCAAGGTGGTTAGCTCAGCGTTCAGGCCGGTTTCCTCAAACACCTCCCTGGCGGCTGCCTCCGTGATGGACTCTCCTCGCTCCATACGTCCGGCTGGTAAGTACCACTTGCCTGGTCAACAGAGTAGAGCATAAGAGGCTTGTCTTGTTGTGGTTAGGATGTGAAGGGGAACCTCACCTGCACAGCTCTGCTTGGCCTCCTCGATCATGAGCAGCTCGTCGTGCTCGTTGATCAGCACACAGGCGACAATATAGGTCACGGTCTTGCCAAGAATGGGCACAAAATCGGAAGCCGACGAGGGCTGTACACCCTGAGCCTCGGCGGTGGCATTCTGCTCCTTTAATGAGAAGTCGCACAGCTCCGTGGTGATTTCGCCCAGATCTTTGCCATCCAAAACGCGACGCACTTTCTCCACAATCGAAGTCATCCTGGAAACAGGTGTGCCTGTTGTCATTAAAGATTCATGGTGTGGCATTTTAGATACTCACTTTTAGCAGAGAATAACCAAGTGACTCAGTTCGATGAACATGCTCCGCCCAGTGCTCCGAATCAGTGCATATATCAGCGGTTTGCTATATGCAAATTACATACGAATTCCAAAATTCTTGAGCGCTCGTTCGGGCAAAAGAACGTGGCTAACTCGAGAGCGGGCCAGATGTGACTGGGGCTATAATGCCCAATAAAACCGCCGCGACGATGGCAATCAACTTTTTGTTGTTGTTGCCTCCTCAGAGCGGTCTCTATGTGGCCTCTATTTCTCTCTATTGCTCGCTATTGCTGTATTGATATCGGAATGGATGTCAAATAAGCCGCTCGACGGGTTTTCTTCGGGAGAAAGTGCATTGGAATGTGTGTTGTGTCGCCAATGTTATGTCGCCAGATGCTCGTTGTTCTAGCGATTGTCACTAAATACTTGGACTAACTTTGAGTGATTGGTTATTGCACATGTCTTTAATTGCTCCTTAGCAATTAATGGCCTAATGGTTTAACAAGAAGTGTACAACGATCGAACGGGTAACAGGTAATTTTGTTTGTTTACATTTGTTGGTGTGGCCGTAGACTGCTTTCACCAAAAATACTTCTTGTCGAATTTAAATCTGGTATTAAATGTGACAGCCTGGTCCCACTGAAACGGTTTAAAATTGGATTATAGCTCGTTACAAAAAATCCTCTTTTTAAAATAACCTACTTACTTTATTTATCTGTTATATGCCTATTTTAATAACAAGGTACAACATTAAATTTGTAAATTTGAAAAACAAACAGCAAAGAGGCGTTGCAGCGTAGATTAATATTAAAGCCACACCAAATCCCATCCGGCATATGTGTTGGGTGTTTTGTGGGCAGGAAGCATCGCTGATTGCTGGCAATAAAATTTGAATGCGGAAATTTCATTGTTTACCCAAATCGATCATCATTAAAAGCATTGCTGTTACCATTCCCGTTTTGCCATTGCAAAAGTGCCAATTGGCCCCGAATCCACGGCGTATACTTAACGTGGGCGGGTACTCTAGGGGATGGGTGTGTTTATATCGGAAGGCGGCATGGGCGTGGCAGGAGAGGACTGGTAATGGGCTTGCAAACTCAGATGCCTGGGTAGGTAATTCAATTTTGTGCAAATGCTTGATTTGCCATTTAGCTGCTAGACTAAATCCAAGGTTCTTGGCTAAGAGCAGTGAAAGAAAAATGCAAGGATATTTGGGTTTCGTGTTTTTTTTTTTGGTTTGGTTAATAAAATTGTATGTCCTGGCGTCGCATTACTTGGTAGCATTCATGGAGGATATTTTAAAGAAAAGATTTATTGTTGAAAAGCAAGAGAAACCTAGTTTATAAAGCTGTGTGTGGTTTTGGAAATATTCAATAAATAGCTCTTAAAGTTCAGTCATATCTACTATATTAAAGAAGAAAGTAGAACTTCCTTCATAAAAAGCATTAAAATTTAACAAATTTTTAAACATATTCTATTGTTATTCTTTACAGTGTAACAATACTTACTTATCTCCTTACTTTTAGGCATACTTCCCGCTTTCCAGCTAGCATCTTCCTGCCACCACTCAAGTCCTTCTTCTGCTCCGCTGCGACTCCTGAACCACATTGCGCATAAGACTTTTGTCATTATATTGTTAATTTGTTTTAGTTGTTTTTTAATTTCCTTGGAGAGTCGCAACCTTGTAGAAGCACACATGCGTGTGAGCACAGCTGCAATAGTGTGCGTAAGCAGTGCCCGAAGTGTGCGTGGGTGGGTGGATGGGCGTTGGTGTGGGTGCTGGGTCCTGCCGGTGTATGTGTGGGTGTGCTAATGTACTGCGAGTGGATCTCTGGTAATAACGGCTAAAGTAAAATGCTGATAAAGTGGCGAATGTTTCGGAATGCGTGTATTTGTGTGCGGATTCTGCTGCGTGGCTGCGATGACAGGCAAAAGCGAACACAAAACGTTCATTTCCCACATGCACCATTATTCGTTGAAGCCCGTAAATTTCACCGAAAACGAACAGCAACATCAACACAGCAGCAGCAGCAGAAGCAGCAGCAGCAGCAACATCGGCGGCAGCAGCAGGACCAAAAACAGCAGCAACACAGCAACAATAGCAACAAAAACAGTAACACCAATCCAAGAAGCTGCTTAACACGAGAATAATGTTTAAAATGTTTATTATGTGTGCAAGTGACGGGAGCCATTCTACCCCTCATGCCACAGCTTTCCTTCTCCCCGATATCGTTCCTCCTCCGAGATGACAGGCCCAAGCGTCAGGCCCAAACGCACACATAACTCGGCACTGACAGAAAATAATTTTAATCAAGAATATTTTAAAATTTGATAACCCTAATACTCTTACTTATCTAGATCTTATTAAACATGTCTATATAAGGCTTCATAGATATGATTTATTTCTGACTGAAAAGGATCTTAAACGAAAAACTTATCTATTTATTCTCCTCTATGTCTTTACTTTACTTTTAAAAATAAAAGAAACAAAAAGAAGTTTCAAACTGAAAATATATTAGATCTTTCTTAAAATATAATTTTTTATTGTTTATTGTAATATACTATAATGTTGTATCTTTAACTACCTTTTATTCCATCGTATAAAAGTTTAAAACCACAAATCTGATTCAAAATTGAATATTCTCAATAAGCTTCAGTAGGATCACCTGGATAATATCATTGTGTAAGTTTTTTAACATTTTTTAAATACCAATTATGGTAGCAATTAATAAAAACATTATAAAGATTAAGCCGATTTTAAATATTCCCGGAAAGTGTCATGATGAAACTAAGCCGCTTATGAGAATGATGAATACGATGGTATATCCTGGGCGTATTCAGCAATTATTTGGCTCACGAAATGTGGCTTCTGGTTATATTTTACATAATGGGCGTTATGCTTGAAACCGCTTTACAAATATGCGTTTTATTTAAAACGCTGAGCCTTAATCGTAGGGACACGAAATCAAATCCTGCCTGCGTGTAACCGCTCTGGGTTGTGCTCTGAAATGTCGTATTTTTGTTTCTCTGTGCACGCACACCATTGCAGCAGCCACCAGGACCTACACACACACACACACTCAGAGAGACACAAATACAGAAATGTCTGTGGCAGTGTTGATATTCGTTCGTTCTCTCCGGCTCGCCGGATGCGAAACAAGTAGTCCAAATAACCCGCAATAAGCTTTTGTCACGATTAACAAGGCTTACGCAAATGTGTGTCTCTGTGGTGTGGCACACTCACACTCCTCACACCCCTCACACCATATCCAGCTACCCCCCGCATCCAACATAATTACATGCACGCCATGGGAGTGTGTGTGCGTGGGTGGGTGCGTGTGCCTGTGCCATATTTTAGATTAATGATGGCGTCGACTCGTATTAGGCAAATGAAGAAATCGACATCGACATGCGGCCGGGTGAGCCGAGGTGAGCTCACCCCGCAAGATCTGGTATTAAGGAGCTTGCTCCTGGCTTCTGGCCTCATCCTCATGCGGTTTTCACAGCACTTCCGCAACAAATTTGCCACAACAATAAGTGCATATCATTATGCTGATTTAAGTGGGCGACCCACTCGTAGCGGGGCCCATCTATAGCGAATTATTGCCCATACACCTGACCGACCACCTCACCTTTTTGTTCCCGGGGCCAAGACGTATGCCCGCAAATGTATGCTACACAAGAATTGCGGGGCCAGGGCCCTCGGATCTCCAGGAACCGGGATCCAGGTGAGGGCTGCGGTCTGCGGATGGCGCTGTGCATGCAAGTGGGTACATAAATCTTTGTTTAAAGACACATGCACAATGTAAGTTAAATTGGCAATAACGTGCTTTCTTTTATACTCCAAGAACACACATTCGCACCCACAGGCGGGGTTAGAAAAATAGCATTCCTCTTAATCTTGATCTAGATTCAATCTAAAATTTATAAATCATTATTTGCATAAAGATCTTTTTGATAAAAATACAGAAATTTTAATTAAATTTATTGAAAGGCCGCTACAAGTTAGGCTCTTTAGGCTAGAAGGCTCTTTTAAGTTTTTAGAAATATTTCTTAAAGCTTTTTTCTAGGTCTATTAATATTTCCAAGAGAGGTACCTTAATTGCTTTTTGAAAAACTAAATTTATATAGTTTTTTATTTTAAAAGCTTATACCTAAGTATGTACTCAACAATACCTGAAACAATTCCTTGTAGCTTTTATATAATATTTCAAAAATTTCCGATCATAATCACCTCCCAGGCAAATAACAATAAAATTGTGGTGTTTATAGGATCATTAGCCATTCAGGATTTTTTACTCTTATGGGGACATATTTAATTATTTATGTTTATATTTTACTTCCCTAAAACCTTTAAGTGTGCGCACCAATGCATTGGTGGAGTAATAAAATTTTCATTTGCAATGCTATTATTTTTTCCGAAATTGTGTGCTCCCCAATGCCCCCTTCCCCTAGTCCTTACATGCCACCACTCACATACACCCATACATATGCAGATGTAGGTGTAGATGTGGCCGTATACATAACGGTAACGGAACCTTGTTTGCAAGGAAGTAACAACCTGTTCTCACCCCGTATGTCGTGGGTTTCGACGCTTTTATGGTCGAAGGAAGTATGGAATGGAAAGAGGGGCTCAGGAAGGGAGCATGGAAAAGGGGTGTGCCAGGGGGGTGGGTCTCTATGCCCCCGCCCCAGCGATGTTTTTGTTGCTGTTATGCTTTAATTATGCCCTTGTCAAAAGGTGGGTCTGGGTTGTCGGGTCCGGGCTTGGCCTGTCCGCCGCACTGGATACGGTTCAGGCTTTAGCTCCGGCTACGGCTCTGGCTCTGGCTCTGGCTCTTTCTTTGGCTTTGTTCAAGCGGATATGAAATTTACTATATCCACATATTATGTACATACATACATACATATAGGAAGGATCTGGCGAGCGTGTGCGAAGGTTGTCCCATAAAATTCGGTAAAACACATCATCGATTGCAAATACTCGGAAAATCTGCAGCATCATCAATGCAAAAAGTGGGTCCTGTCCTCAACCTTATACTCACGTATGGTACCTTCATGTGACAGAAGGCAAAAAAAAACGAAAACTGAATAAAAATAAAACTAAAAAAGCAAAAAACTTTTTGCCAACGCGAATGGTGCAGAGCTTTCATATTTTCCCTTCGAACTAAGCCAACAAAAAAGTTATCCTTGCTCGCCACTTGAGCTGCCATTAAATTCGCTTTCGGAAACACGATTTTCGGTCCCTGGCGAGGCGAGGACGAGTTGCCCCAAGGGGACCTGCAATCAACGGGTCGGTTGCTGATTTACTTGCAACAAGCAGACCGCAGTTTTGACTTTCCGATAGCCGGTAATCAGATTCGTCAATCACTACCAGGCGAGAATGAATCATTTTGAGTTTATCAACTTTTATAACTAAATTATCACAGGAATTACGAGAGAAAAGTTTGTTCACCAAAATCCTATTGTTGGTTTCCAGTTGAAACTAACGAAACTTTTCGTAACTTATGACCGGTAATTAGTGGGGCGTGTACCGCTAATTACATACGATTAAATGTTATTTAAAAATATGATAATGAGTGT